TATTTTAAAAATACATTACATATTAAATTATATTAACGCAAAATATTATATAAGACCAACATTCGAACAAAATCGATCTCTTCCAGTCCACTTACATCTGTACAAACATCTCAAACTTGTGTTGGGTTAATAGCTTAACACGTCGTAATGAGTTGCTAATGAATTAGCTGAACTGCTTCGCTGAGCTCGCGAGATAAGTTGGTGTAAATAATGTCTATAATATCCGCAGTACGCGTACATAATATGCTGGATTTAAAACAACTCAATTGTAGATTAATGTGGTAATGGATAGCAGATGATATCAGTACCTATAAATACAGTATTTCGATCATTTGAAACACTAATATGAAATATGAAAAACAATAATAAAATTCTAACTGAGCCGAATCTGTACATGAAATATTTTTGGAAAATCGTATTGAAATAGACATTATTATCAATACAGAGGCCGAATCTACAGTTTTTAGAATTTTTGTCTGTTTGTCAGTCTGTCTGTTACCGCATTACAGAAAAACTACTGGAGGGATTTTGATGAAATTTGGTATGGTGATAGCTGGTTATCCAGGACAACATATAGGATGCTTTTTAGCGCGGGAAAATATCTCATTTATACAGAGAGTATACTAATATGAAATATGGTCATCTGAACGCGGGCAGAGCCGCTAGTATGAAATACAATGATTTATTGTTGGGTAGGTACTAAAAGTAATTCTACTTTAACGAACGTCGACGTTGAAACGTCGGAAACAAAAAATCTAAATAAATCACCTAAATGATCTGAAAGTTTTATTTAAAACGTAGTCGAGTATTTTTATATTTATAATTATTTTTTTATTGAAGTGAAACTTCTTTAGACGCGCCATGAGAGGGAAAAAAATAATTGGCGTTACGAATTTTGTAACGGAAACGGTTGTTACGGAAGTGAATAAATAGTCAATTAATTTTAAGAAAATACTTCTATCTTTTATTTCTAAATGAGCAATGGAATCATATCAAATAAATATCGTTTAAATTATTTACTTGAAATAATTTCTTATACAATATATATTTTTTTCATAAAAAAATTTGTATCCCTGTTTTACTGTTTATTTTATTAGAGTATATAATTTATCGAATCATTATATTGAAAATTAAATTTTAACTTCTTAACACCATCTGTACTACGTGAATAGTAAAATATTGTTTTCCTTTTTAAATCGATAAAAAAATATTTTTGTAGTATGGTATGGTATATTTATTTATTTATTTATTTGGAAGACAAACAGTATTATGTTACATATTATAAACAAAAGAAATAAAAAAATTACATACACCAATTAAGTCTTCACTGTTTACACATTCTTAAGGTAGGTATATGTTAGCTTATTACAATTAAAAATTAAAGTATATAACAAAAAAAACGGGGAAATCACGAACAGACACTTCTGGTTAAAATTTTGAACTTATTTAAAGAAAGGGAAAATAAATCTATGTCATTAAATATTTCATTATGCAATCTGCAAGAACGGTATATAAAGCTATTACGTGCATAATTAGTTGTTATTCTAGGTAGATAAAATAATGACAAATTACGTGATTGCGGTCGAGGACATCTTAAACAAATGTTACTTAAAAGAAATGGTGAATGCACATGATTTATTTATCATATTCGGGCTATTTTCCGCAACTCGACGACTATGCGGCTATTTTGCGTGTGTTATTTTTGTAGTATCTTCCTATCCTAATTATTTAATCCCTCCACGACCGCGGACACGCCGGCGTGTCAGTTAACAATAGATTTCTTAGAATTTTAATTGATTTCTTAGAAATTTACCTGGAGATGTTATAACATAAATTGAATTTCATAAAAATTACTGATAACGTACAGACGTAGACATTTCACTTCTTGCGCGTGTACACATTGATACATGAACTGTTAATTTTTTTTATATATTAGCTATAATATTGTAGTCGAGGTAATCAGTATAAACGACAACATGATAATTTTTGGTAAACATCATCTTCATAGAACGTTTCCTCTAAATACCTAATAAATGTTCTAAAATATTCTTAAGATGTAATTCAATTGACTTTTCATGCAAATATAAGGTTATAATTAATTAAAAAAACAAAAACAAATTTTCTGTAACCATTTTATTTTCAAACATATTTTTAAAATCCATAAAAAATAACAAACAGATATATGCACAGCTATAATTAATTAAATATAAATCACTAATGTAATGTTCCGAGAACGCCAAACCTACAGCATAGGAAAAAGCTTGAAAAAAGCTCTGCATATAGTGAGAATCTCATAGAATTTTTCGAATGACTTCACTCGATTAATTATTATGGCCAATTTCACGGTCTTATTTCATATATTTTTTTATTTACGCTAATATTTGACATTTTAAATTAAACTTTTCGAATTGTTTCTCAGATTTATTTAGATTTTTGGTTACCTACGTTTAGAATGCTTCACAGCGATTCTCCCTTGACCATGATTTTAGTGTTTTAAACATTAGTATATCTACCGTTCTCAGTTTTTTTTCTCTATAAGTTAATTTGCCAAAAAATATCAAATTACAAGGTTCTTTTATTTGAGAGTGCATATATTATTTAAATATTGATTTGATTTTGTTTACAACTAAGACTTTACTTAAGACTAAACTACACACAGTTTTCTTATTTTTTGGTTTAGGGGAATACAAAATTATGGATGCCTTCACCAATTTTTATATTTTATATTAAAATCCATAGGAGAATTACAGACTACGGAGAAATACATTAGTATAAGTGCATAAATATTCTCTATGCGTGTTCCACAAGCACATGGCATTCACGTATCGTGAAGCTCTGTATTTGAAGCTGTCAGTATGTAAGTGGCCTAGTACTTAATAAAAAATTCGGAAGTTTTTAAATATAAATAAGGCCAACTTTTCTTTCACTTAGATGTTCTTAGTAACTTTACATATTAAAATCCCATGAAAATAACTTGTTATGTAGAGATTAAAAATACATAGGTACCATACCACATACATTTTTAAATTCTATATAAAAATATTATTAAGAATTCAATTCAGTTTATTCAGTCCAGCCGTTTCGATTAGACGGAACAGAACAGACAGAAAGATAGACAAAAAATTAAAATAATGTGTTTTGCTTATACGTATAATTTCATATGCATTTAGTAAAAGTTGTTATTTTGACATTACAAACAGACACATCAATTTTATTTATCTTTATAGACTATTGAATTTTAATTTATGACGATACCTATTTTAAAATTCCACCTTCGAAATAAATAACAACCATAAAAAAATATTAAGTCATTTCCATATAAAAATTGCACAATTATTTTACCAATTATCCGGTTTATGTAAGTTAGGCCACTTTTGCACTGACTGTTAATAAATATTTTTGGTACAAACACAAAGTTATCATATACAAGCATAGCACCAATTTTAACACTACATTTAACGCGCGATGTCATTTAAGCTCGTTATAGTGATTTCATCTAGTTTCTTAGATTTACGCAAATATATGACGTTTTAAATAAAACTATCTTTTCGAATTTTTCGCGGATTTATTTTAATATGGTCTCTCCCGTGACCATGATTGCTGTAAAGCATTCGAAACATCGGGATCCAAAGATCAAAATAAATCCGCGGAAAAATCCGAAAAGATAGTTTTATTTAAAACTTCCACTACCATTAAATCGAAGTTCTTATGAAGTATTGACTCGTATGTCGCTCGTCTTAAACAAAATTGATAAATAACATTTAAACTTTAAAGTCAAATAATCAAAATATATTTTGTTCAACTAGATTTTTTGCAATTTAGAATCGTCATCTTAATTTAAAGAGACATTGTTCAGAAGAACAGTAATTCAGTTACTTTTAATAATAATTAAATTTAATTTTTAATTTACTTTATAAAACAAAAAATAGAATTTCACAACGTGTCAATACATAAAAATTAAGATGATTTAGCGAGCTTATATATTTCGGAATTTTATCACGCTAAAGAGAGAGAGAGATAGAAAAAATATACTTCAAAGAACCAAAAGCCAAGATACCTTTGTCAGGACATAGCAAGTTTTTTCTATTAAGGATGCATCTGATACCGATACCAATATAACTTCGATATCGTCAGTTTTATCGATACATCGGTATCGGTGATATTACTTTGCCGATACACTGATATATTTTTAATAATTTAATTGTGTTTTCTGAATAAAAATCTCATAAATGTGAATTTTCTATATTAATGTCTAATCTGAACTTTATTATTATATAGCTTTTTTTATTTTTTTTTTAAATAACTAATATTCTGTTAATTACAATTTCCAAACGCGAATTAACATTCTAAATAACTATTACTTATATATTACGTGTGTAATACCATTTGTTTCTGTTTTTTTTTTTTATTCAAAACCTAGACTTTTGCACTTTTTATACCATTTGAAGCCTGCAGTGTCCGTATCGGTATCGGCAGTCAATCAAAAAAGTACTAGATACACAATCAGCAACCAAAAAATGTCCTCACCGAATGAGCGCTCATTTGAACATTTCAGCGGGCTTTTTTTTGTGAAAACAACTAAATTAAGCATTGCATTTAAGGTTCAATTTACATTTTAGTATATTTATTTCAACTAGAATAATTACCTAAATACAATTGGTGAGTTTTAAGAGAACTTTTGCATGGGATTGTGTATCTAGCGCTTTTTCGATCGATGGTATCAGCGATAATTTTATACAAATATCGATATCGGTATCGTATCGGTAGAAGTGCGTATCTACACATCCCTAATAATAATAGTGATGGAATAAAAGTATTTTAATTGGTAACTAAGTCTTATTATACAACTGTCTTTCAACCAAATATACATATATAAATATGCCAAAACATAAGTAATAACCGCAAACACCTACTAAAACCGTGTAAGATTTTATTTTTATATGAGTATGGAATGTATTCATCAACAAAATAGCAATGGCTATATTTAATTAATATTTTTAAGCTAAAGTCACTCTTTGCTTTTGCATTAGTTGTGATATCAGCTTCTCTTCTGGCGACAGTGTCTCGCCTCTAAACCTTTTATATCTGTAAAGAAACAATAATTGTACAGTTTTTATATACTTACGTAGGAACGTTTTAAGGTTTAGTATAGATTTCTCAGAGATGAGATATTTTCCCGCAGTCAAAACTATCCTATATGTTGATCCGGATAACCAGCTATCGTCATACCAAATTTTATCAAAATTTGTCCAGTGGTTTCCTAGTGATGCGTTCACAAACCGACAGACAAACAGACAAAAATTCTAAAAACCAGATTCGGCCTCTGTATCGATAATAATGATTATTTCCATAAGATTTTCCAAAAAATATTTGATGTACAGATTCGATTCAGAATTTTATTATATTTATGACACTAATAAAACTTCCGAGATATACCTTGCATATATTCTTATATTCGGTACTTAGCAATATCAACTTAATTTTTTAATAATTGTCAGTATATATGTCTATGTGGAAGCTATCACCGGCTTGGAAAGAAGTTCTGCCGAGAAGAGCTGGCGAGATAGGTAGGTTATTGGAACAGCTTTACGGTTCATCTAATTGTCAAATATACGTTTTTAAACGCACTTTCTATATAAATAAAAATATGTTCTACGTCAGCATGAAGACCGCTAACTTACCACATTGGGCCGTCCTACTGAAAACCTTCAAATAAATACCCAAAACAACACTAAGTCTGAACCGTGAACCCGGGATTCGAACCCAGAACCTCTCCCTGAAACCATATAAAACAAACAAGACTGTCATATTAAAGTATTAAAAACCAACATAAAAAACTCACATCATATCATAAAACAATCTTTGTTCCTTTGACAACGAAGGCTTGGTCTCTTCCAACGCGCTCAGTATATCTTCCTTGTAAACCACAACTGACTCCAAGTTCTTGTCGCCATTGCTAACCTATAACAAAACATGAAATTATTAAAAAAAATATTGATCTGCTTTTATATCTGACCAAGTAATGATCGAACAGACATAATTAAATCTTAGCAGTTTCGTAAACATTCAGACAAATCTCATATAAGAGCTTATCTCACAGATAATAAATGATAATTTATACCAATACTAAATAAAGTTTAACATAAATATGCGCCAATTTCGCAAGAAATGCGTTTCGCACGCAAAAAGAAATAAATAAATCCACTATTACTCAGATATTATGCTCTTTGCTATATTAGTTTAATAACATCTAAAAATCAATTTGATAAATTTAAAAGTAAATCTGTCTGTCTCTTACATTTTCACGCTTAAACAACTAAACAGATTTTAATTGAACTTTACAAAAATATAGACATCATGGACATGGTACATTTAGTTACATTTATCCACCCCACTTACAATGCAAGCGAAGCTGCGAACAAAAACTAGTTAAAATAGAGTAGATAAAATCTCTTACCAAAAGTCGTTCCAATCTCCCCAACTGGGCGGTGACGAGCAATGATTTGAGATCAGCGGGCGAGAAGCCGTCGGTCTTCTCCGCCAACTCCTGGAGGTCCACCTCCTCAGATATCGATACGCTTTGCGTGAGGGTCTTCAGCACTTCGTAGCGACCGGTCTGTGATATGGATAATCAAATATTACTGTGAGCAATCGAAGTCGAGCGAACGGTTTTTTTTTAAATTTACAATAAATTATTTTTTTAAATAAATTGCTTAATCAAATATGTTATTAAAAAACTTTATTCTTACAAATTACCTGCTTATTACGTCTACATTAAAAATGGAAAAATAAAAACTTAAAAAATAAATAAAAACCGACTTCCAGGCACTAAAATGTAAAAAATTTTTTTAGGCATCTATTCTAAATGAAAACCCAAGTTTAGTTATTTTTTACATTTCAGTGTCTGGTAAGCGGTTTATTTTTAAGTTTTTATTCTTTTAAAAGTGACCATTCTAACCAGATCAGGCAGGGCACAGTAGACGTGCAGCTGCAGCCGGCCCGGCCGCAGCAGCGCGGGGTCCACGAGGTCGGGGCGCGAGGTGGCGGCCAGCACGGCGCCCGCCGCGCCGCCCTCCGCGCCGTCCAGCCGCGCCAGCAGCTGGTTCACCACGCGGTCCGTCACGCCCGTGGAGTCGTGGCCGCGTCTGATCGTCATGTGTACAAAATGTATCAATACACCTAGTATTCAGTTTGATGGTAGTATTTAGTATAGTCAGCCGCTTTGTGTATGAATTTCAAAAAATAAATCGCGTCGATTCGTCAAAGTCCCGTACTGATACGTTTAGTAGTATTTACGTGATAGCGGGACAAAGAAAAAGAAATCGCTCGAAAAGGTCTAAGGTACACTAATTGGAAACTAAAAAATCTTGAGCGACCTGTAAATATTAAAATATCGACTTGAAAATTTTAGAATCCTAATCATTATTATAGTAGAAAATAGTGAAATAACGAGAAAAAAATAATTAAAAAATCGATTTGCTACGACTCGATTTTGGAAATTTTTAAAAATCAATTTTGAATTTTTTTTAACTGCGCTTTGGAGGTGGCTCCTAAAACATGATAACTAGCATATTTTCGTAAGAATCTCGAAAAAAAAAGTTTTTTTTTGGGCCACCCTCGTATATGTATATATGTATATGCTCCACTTGGGTGCGCCAATACGAGCCTATTACATCACAATTCACATTATCTGTCTACTAATGTAAACCTGAAATTTAGTTTGTGTATGTTTGTTACCCTTGTTGCTATATCGGTTTCACGAGTTTGGTTTTAGTACGCAGATAGGCTATGAACTACCACATAGGCTTCTACTAGTAATAAAATTTACCAAAATATTGGGTTCCCTTTATATAATTAAAGGCACCTAGAAACAAAGAACCATCCGCACCAAAAAAACCACCCGGAAGAAGCGAGAGTAAATCGCTGATTTAAAATATTACGATTCGCGCTTACTTCGTTTGACGACTTGATAACATTAAGTTTTCTTTACTTTCAATAAGTATAATAATATCTTTGAAAGAATTTCTCTCTAAAAAAAGGAAATGGTGTAAAGCAGCCGATGTGTTATTCTGATGTATGAGCTATATTATCGTAAGGTTTCATTAAAATCCATTCAGTAGTTTTCGCTTGAGAGAGTACCAAACATTCATACATCTAACACAAACTTTCGCATTTATAATATTAATACATACTTTATATTATAAACTTATAATATTATTTTTAGAAAAATATTAAATCATAAGCATTTAATTTTTAATGTAAGCTGTAAATACTTATTAGATAGACGCATTTTAAAGCCATAAGTAATGAATGAAGAGCGATGATGAATGACATGTAAAGCGTAAGTACTTACAATATTTAACTTACTTGGGCGCGAGACTGTCGAATTCGTCGAAGAATAGAATGCACGGACGTTGCATATCGGCTCTATCAAAAAAAAAAATCATACTTAAAAACCAAAAATAAACATATTTTTATACATTGTAATATATAAAGCTCGTTAAAACGAATCAAACAAGCTTAAACTCGAAAATTATACAAGTAGCTATTCAACAATTCTCTACTATTCATCTCTTCTGACTCCATTTTGACAAATTGAAATTTAATTTATTCCATAAGACATAAGTTAATTTATTGCATAAGACATACTTATGTTAATATTTATATTAATATAATATAAATATTAACATAAGTATATATATAATAGTTAACATTGTGTTGTGTTTTATTATAAATCTAAATCCTGTCTTCTTAAACTACTTTCTTTTTTTCTTTTGGTTGTTTGTTTGATCGTACTAATCTCCAGTAACTTCAGTCAGATTTTCTAGAACACTGATATTTTACTGGCATTTCATACTCTAAAGAGTAAATTTAATTAAATTAACCGATCAATCTCTTTCGTTTCTTCTCGCGCTACGTGCGCGTGCTCAACTGGCACGTTTGAAGCCATTAAAAAGAGCATCGAATCGAATAGTTAAGTTACCTATCACCTACGCGTTACTCTAAAAAACCCAAAACCCTTAATTAAATAAAACCTAAACCCAATGAAAAGCGTCACTCACTTATCAAACACATCCCTCACGGCCTTCTCACTCTGCCCAATGTACTTGGAGAGCAGCTCGGGCCCCTTGACCGCGACGAGGCGCACGCCGGCGAGGCGCGCCAGGCACGAGCCCACGTGCGACTTGCCCGTGCCCGGCGGCCCGTACAGCAGGATACCCGCGGACTGGGATGGGAACAGGCCTGGATACTGGGAGTGAATGAATGCTTAATGTTCTCTCTCCCTCTACCTTTCTAAAGTAAGATTCGTACCTACTTATCCAAATTTCGCTTATCAATGCACTAACTTTAAGAGCGCACCGAGGTAATAAAACGTAATTAAGAAATATTTTCGTTCGTTTGATCCCTTGCTGTATTGTTATTACTAAAACTTTAATTATGCATTTAATATGTAGGATATTTAAGGATTTATCCTATAAATCGTACACTTTAGAAACACGATTACTCGTAGTTTCCTGGATAGAAAAAAACGTCCAAAATCTCTAAAAAACAAACCAAACCATTAGTGCGGCGTAAATAATTCAAGGAAGTACATCAGTTTTTTAATAATAACAAAACTATACGTTTTTTACAACGTTATACATGTTACATTTTCAAAATGTGTTGCATTTGTTATAATAATACGAAGGAAATATCTAAATTCGAACGCGTTCCGACCATCCTAGCCATAGCCCCCCCCCCCTCCCACTCCTCCCAGCCGTTTGCTTTCGTTCTACTAAAATCAATTAGCGCCAAAAGCTCGGTGCCCCCTTAAGCAAAGTAAATGGTAGTATTATAAGCATCTAATTATAATACCGTTTAGAGCTTCAATCAATTCACATCCCGTCCAATTTCTTATTCAGCTCAGACTTAAGGTTGGATAGAATATAATTAAGTATAATTTAAAAAATAGAATTCTATGCAAATATGAGGAAAGATAATATATGACATAACATACCATAAGTGGCCAAAATATACTCTCGGTAATTTTTTGCTTGACATCATGCATGCCGCCCAGCTCGCCCCAGATGTCGAACGCCCGGGTTTTCTCTTCATCCTTTGCCGTTTCTTCTATGAGACGTGGTTTGTCTGTTCCGATTACTTCTACAAATATAAAAAAAGATATATAGGTATATATTACTTTATATATATATTTACCTCCATTCCCAAAGAGGGTTGACATCAGGCAGGCGGCCGGTCGTAAAACTTTTGCCAAATCCTATCAGCAGTAGGTACAGAAGATTTATTGCTTCCCCAGTTACGTTTTCAATAGATAAAAATAGTTATTGCGAATGTACCTAAAGAGATAGACATAATATGCTAACACGAACTTTTTCGTAAAATTATAAATTCGAAATTTGCATAATTTTATAATGTTTAGGCTTAACCTTAAATTTCATATTTCCACAATAAAACATACCCTATACGTAGCCCTACAATTTCTCCTATCTTTCAATGAAAGTGTAATTATAATCGGTTGAGCCGTCACAAAAATTGCCGCGGACAAACAAAGACATGGACAGACAGACAAAAACTTCAAAAAGGTATGGATTGCTTAGTTACTGAATTGATCTCATATAGATAACTTTATATCCTGGAGAAAACAGTAATTTTAAAATAACAGACAGACAAACACTTCAATTTTATTTCTATGTAAACTTAAATCAAAATTTACACCTAGAAACATCTACATTACAAAGTCCCATACACGGCCTTGTTTAACCAGCTGTCTATCTAGGTCCGAAGAAATGTACCAAAATAATAACATATACTCACTTTTCTTTTTAACACCTTTAAATATCTTCTTATTCAAATAATCGACAAGTTCTCTGACATTGCATCCTGACGTATCCATCGCCAGGCGCGTGACGTCATCGTCTTCCACCAGAAACGACTCCCGGATCTTGTCATTTATCAAATGTTTGAACAGTTCCACTCTATCTTCCTTAAATGTTAATAAATTAATGAAATATATATGTGCATAAAATATTTGTCATCTATACATAGTATTTGTAAAATAAACTAGCGGTTCATCATCGCTTCGCTCGGGTTCGTCCCTAGTGATAAGTCTATTTGAATAGTTTCATTTCATTTTAAAAACAAACCTATCCCACGGGAACCGTACATTTTTTCGAAATAAAAAGTGGCCTATGTGTTATTTCAGACTATAATCTATCACTATGCCAAATTTCATCCAGATCCATTCAGTGGTTCTAACATGATTGAAACAAACATCTATATTTCCAAACTTTCACATTTACATATATAGTAGTAAGATTAATAACTTAATATGGTAATAATTTAATTTATTATAGCTGTTAAATTTAATAAAAAGAAACATGTAAACTTCTATATATTATACATAATAATACAAAAAAAAACGTTGTCACTAATCAATGAAAAAGGATTTTTAGCAGTTAAATCTAAAAATGTAAACCTTAAAAGAATGAAAAAAAACAAATTCTGCAACAACGAGACGAAATTGCTAGTATTCTATTAATATCTATTTATTTACTTGTTTCAGTTCTGGTATATCAAAGTGCGCTGTAAACATTGGTTTTCCATTGAACTGCCGTAACGTTGGATGCAGACTCTTCATACTTAGTGACATCATCAAAACACACACACCCGCACAAGTCTGCAGCATATGTTTGATTATAACTGCCAATCTGAAATATTTAAATATAATATTATGTTAATTTTATGTTATCAAGTACGGTACTTAATTTTTTTTATTATATTTACTTTAAATGAACCTGATGTGACTGACACAAATAAAAAGGAGGTCAAGAAAAGAAGTCAAGTATATATTATGTTTTATCTATCATCTCAAGATTTACTTATGTTTTTAAATATACAATATGCAGATATAATTTACTCTATACACACAGCTACTTGCACACAAACCTTTCAATTTATTGAATTAAAATTTAGCATTACCAATAGTAAAACGACATCTTTATATATATAATTCTTCTGTGAGTGTGTATGTCACTGAACTTCTCTCAAACGACTGGACCGATTTTGATGAAATTTTTTGGGTGTGTTCAAGGGGATCTGGGAATGGTTTAGATTCACAATTTGAATAATAATTTTCATCAAAAAAATTATTAAAAAAAGTTTGAAATTTTCAAATTAAAGACGTGTAGACAGGACAACGTCTGTCGGGTCCGCTAGTATACATATAAAACATGCAAAAATTTGTTGACTTTTTTATTATAAGATTAATTATATGTGCATTCAACCTTTTTTTAACATCCTACAGCTGGGCACGTACTTCCCTATAATAATAAGAATCTACATTAGATATTATTTTCAAAGCCATCCAAATTACAATATGTACCTTTGATAATATGCAATATCTTGTGGCGATGCTCCCTCTGTGTTTGGCGGAACCAGTGCATCCACATCGTCACATATCAGTACTGATGGACTATGTTCTTGACACATTAATATTGCTTTTCCTATCACTTCAGTTACATCTTTGCGTCCTTTGAGGGATCGGCAGTGAAGTATATGAGACCATAAAGTCAGTTCTTTTTGTACTATGTGACAGATTGACGATTTTCCAGATCCACTTTGACCTGAAATAAATAGAAATATTGAATATTATTTAGACTTCATAAATTGAATCAAAATGTATTACAAAAAAAAAATGCTATGTTAGTGTAAATACTGTAATGTCCTTCCTGACCGATTTTGACCATGGAGGCCAATCTCAATGAGACTAGCCATACTTGCACAGGAGATATTATTGTGCACAGTTGTGCGCGCAGACACAAGTGCACTCTCCATTCCTGTCACTCTTATACACCGGTGGGATGACTACTCGACACGACCAGTGAGAGTTAAGGCGCAGGACCGACGGCTTTACGTGCTCTCCGAGACACGGGGGTGAAGCACCGCCAACTTCCCAATTTTGGGTTATTACTGAGTCTTTCTAAATAGAAAGACTTAATAACTAAACTTGGCCTGACGCGGGACTTGAACCCAGGAACTCCCAGATGTGCAATCATATATGCTAGCCACTACACCAAAGTCAAAGTGAAACCTTTATTTTTTTTAATTGCTAGAAATATGCATCAAAAGCTAAAATAATATAATTTTAGTTTATATAATAAAGGTCTTTAATTAACACAAATTATTATTTTTCAAATACAACTTACCAGTAATCAACACATTGCTTTTTATTTCCGACATACCCTTAAAACTGGCCTCTCTTTGTACTTCAAAGTTAACATGAGATATCACTTTTTCCACCAAATTTTGAACAGATCTTATTGTTCTACAATAGTTTTTATAATCATATTCTAGCTTTGAAGCCACCACTTTGGGCATTTCCAGATCTGTATCAGAAAAGCATTTTGCTGCGACAGTACAATTTCTAAATGATTCAGAATTCAACATCGTATATTTTAACTTTTCAGGCTTCAATTTGAATTTCAAAAATCCATTGCTTATATGTACATTTTGTTTCACCATTCCATCGTTAATCAAAAACTGTTTACCCGAGTGAGTATTTTCTACCACACACTTCTTGAACTTGTCTATTACATCTATTTCTGTTTGAATTTTTTCTGTATATGTAATAACATCAATATGATCTGGATGTTCCACTTTATCTCCAATTATATTAAAAATTATTTTCATTCCATTCTCAATATTTATTATCAGATTTAACGATTTAGGTATAAGTACTGTTGGTATATTCCTATTGTATACTTCTCTACAAAGACTTCTATAAACCACATTGTCAATGGGCACTATTTCAACACACAAACCATCAATTTGATTTTTATTTTCAACATTTTCTTCTATATTTTCTGTTATAATTGTAGGTATATTACTCATAGTAGCCAGAATGACCATAATATCTTTTAGTTTGGTATCCAATAAATCTTCATGAATGAACACTGTGTATGGATGTATTAAGTTCTTTTTACCATCACTATCAATTGGAAGAGCTCTTAATACTAACCTCTGTGGTGTATTTAAATAAGGCTGAAGCATACCACTATTTATAGTACCAATATTATTAAATTTATTATCTGTTTCTTTAGGTACTTGTACATAAGAATTACTAAGGCCTCCTTTATAGCTATTGAAAGCATCAACTTTAACTATAATTCTACTGTGATTGACTAATAGACCAGTTTGTTTTGGTATGAAAACTATAGGTAAGGATGTTGATATCCAAACAACAGCTTTTTGATTAGCGACCACAAGTCTAAGTTGATCTAATATTCTAAGTTGTAAAATTTCAGCATTATGTTCCTAGAAAGGAAATAAACAATATTTATAATATAAAAGTTATTTTAATCAGAAACATGATATAGTATTCCTTACCAAAATCTCTTGGTCATCTGGACTATCAGTGTCAACATACAACTCATCTAATATCTTAACATCTCCATAAGGTACCACAAATACCTCTAAACCCTCTTCAAAGCCTAATAATTTGCTATAAATAGGATTGCATGCTAAATGGCCTTCTTGAACACTATTGTTGAAAACCACCCAAAGTAATATCTGTTTTTCCTTAGACAGGACTTGTACACACAGAGACTGAAAAGAATAAAATTACTAAAATGTAACACTAATCAAGAGAAAGTAAATAATAACAAAAGCATAACCTCAAAAAAATTAAGAAAGATTATTGTAGATGTAATGTATAGTCGTCGTAAGGTTTTAAATGAATACCTGTTCATTCTTGGAACTATACTTTGGATTTATGTACGCAAAACAAGATCTTTCATGAGTAAAAGAAACTTTTAATCTTACACCACCAAACATTATAAAAAATAGTTGTAGATAAAGTTTCTAAGCCATTTAGTTATATACTTTAATAATTTTAAATACTCGGAGATATTTAAAATAATAGCAGATTTATTTTTATAAAAAGATTTCTATTTATGATAAATGTATATTTTCAGGAAAAAACACTGATAAAATGATAATTAAGTTTTGACAATGACATATCGCATAAAATACTGAATACTCCATATCACGTTCTGTTTACACTTTTTTAGGTAAGTTTAAGAAAAATACAAAGTATTATTAAAGAACTGAATTAATAAGAAATTATTTGCAAATTTTTAGAATAAATATTTTTCTTAAATGAGAACAAATATTCTTCATATCATAAAATGTATAATACGGCATTTAAATATAATATTAAATTTTTGTATGCTTGAAAAAACCCCTAAATAATTATTTTCTATTGTTCAAAAGTTTGTACAAAATATATAAATGAACATAATATATGAAAAATAATTACAATATTTATCCTTATCTATGCATTACATAATATGTAGAACGAAACGCCATTCAAAGCTCATTGTCATTGGTCAGTCTCCTCGCCAATAGAAATTCAAAGCAGCGAGCAACGGTTTTTGTAGATAGCTCTGTTCGGTTGCGAGTTGAAATAACGAAAATTCAGACATCATTTAACTTTAGTTTTTAAAACTGTTCTTGTGACTTTCAAAATTTATTAATAACTATCCAAAGCGGCTGCTGCCGTCTAATTATTGTGAGTAGTTTTAATTGTGTATATATTGTAATGACGCTCACTGTGGTCAGACGTTCAGTTGTTTTGCCTCCATTTTTGGTCGTTATTGCATGATTATTTGAAACTGTTTTAAACTTTTATTATTTATAAATGCTTGTAACGAATCTTCTATGGTGTAACGAGTGTTGTAATTTAAGTACACGTGATAGAATCAAATTATTTTCAGTAAGCTACAATGGCGCCAACAAGGTTGGCATCAAAGCCGATCGGTGCCAATGAGAACCTAAACGGCATCATGAGCCATGGTATCACGACAAGGAGTAAGCAATTAGCTTCTCTGAAGACCTCCAAAGATAGCCTTAAGGCGCCAAATAAGAGAAAAGCTGACAGTCCCCTAAAAGACATGACTGCTAAACGGGCGGCCTTTGGGGATATCACTAATGCCTTCAATAAATCCTGCGCAAATAATGATAAAGACAAAGGCATGGCGCTAAAGAAAGTCACAGTAGAGAGCAAAATGCTACCAACAGTAAAGGTTAACATTTTAATTATCTATAGCATTATGATTAAAGTGGAGGGTAATTTCTTTAATTCATAAAAAATACCCTTTAGAAAAAAAAACAAAAGCGTATGTTGTATATTGCTATAAACGAAAAAAATTGCAATATTTTGGCCAAATCAGCATTTTGCATGGGTCATTGAACTTTCCCTCCAAAATGTTTTCATACATTTTTGCCTAGGTTAACTTTAGTAAAAGGATGTTTTAAAATCTTTATTTCTTTAAATATATATATTAAAATAAAGCTATTCAGTTTGAAATATTTATGATATTCTATTATCTATTAAATAACATACATCTAAGAAATTACTTAAATACTTCTTGAAAAATTTACATTCATCCTTGCTAAAGTAGTAGTATTCAATTTCATTGTCTTAACTTAAGTCAATTTCTAAGTAGTGATTTTTGATAATTTTATATTTAATCAAAAAAATAACAGGTTTCTTGTAATACTTAAAATGTAAATCTAAAAATAATTATTTTTTGCAAATAATAACATTTTATAAACTTAATTTTAAAAACTTTAAGTTTCAACATTACATACTTATAACAAAAAATATTTAACTATATCAACTTTTTTAGAATATCAAACCACAGGCAACTCTAAATGGCAAGACATCCAAAACAAAGCAATTTCAGAAGGCAGCAACAAATGCCTTAGAATCAGTACAGAAGCATTTTGCCAAAGATCCACCCAAACCGGTTGCAACTAGAGCCCAGAATGGCATCCTCAAGAATATTGAAAGGAAAGAAAAGTCTCTTGGCAAAGAAAATCAGAATCAAAGTCAAAATTCAGCCAAATCTATTAGAAGTGATGTTTCTGGAGAACCCTCATTGTATGTAACAGCATTAGAAAATATGTAAGAATATTTTTTTATTTACACTTTTTATAGGAGGTAACCAATTACTAAATTTTTTTGTATATGTTTCTGCAAAATCTTCAGATTTTGAAGTGTGTATAGTAATCTTTTCAGTTTTGTTGTGGATTTATTTTGATTTTTGGTTCCCGATGTTTTGAAACCTTTACAGCAATCATGGTCACGGGAGAGACTAGGGTTTTTTTATTAGTTAATAACAGAGATAGGATAGTATATTATATAATTTTATATGACTTTACCTTGCCCTTATTGAGTATTAAAAGTAAAATAGTTTTATCTTTTTATTAAATAAAGATATTATAATTAGGTATCTTATTTTATACAAGTTTTCTTAAGTGTTTAATATACATAGATTTTAAACAACTAAAGTAGATAGTTTCACTTACATTTAGTGAGTTATTAAATTATAATTTATTTGATAGATAATTGATATATTACTCTAAAATATATACATACATTTAAAAAAGTTATAAATACACATGTCCAATATGCATATCAGTGTGTATTCAAGAAACTCGCGTCTTTCAACAGAAATATCTAACTTTTGTACATGTTTATTTTAATTTTCACCACTTTTACTATCTAGCAGAAACCTAATTATTCTCGTTTAACATAAATCGAAATAAGAGTTATAGTAATGTATCAAACATACAACATATAAATCCTTCCACATATAGACGTTTTTCATACACAAATCATCAATTCACAGCTCTCAGCAGAGATTTACTCACATGTTTACATTTTACGTAAATATTTTTATTTTTTCTTAAATCGGACGCGAGCATGATAATCCGTGATCACGGCCAGACTGATTACTGATTGAGAGACGAGTCACAAGAGTGACGTTTGCAACACCATCGCCGCTTAAAACACTAGTTTTAAATACTAACTTTTTATCCAAAAGAATAACTAAAATGTGTCGAATTATTTATATCTTCATTGGATTGGATATTTAATATTATTTTATATTTACTATCGTTTTTTTTTTAAATGGGGAACCCTAATTCTTTTTCTAAAATAAAAGTAGCATAAGTTACTCCATATATCATCAACTATCTGCTAGTGAAAGTCCTGTCAAAATCAGTCCACCCGTTTCGGTGATTAGCCTGAACAAACAGACACAGGTACACAAAAAATTTACAAAATTGTGCTTTTTTATAATTACCGTAGCTATATAATTTCATATGCATTTATTTAGTAAAAACTTTATATTTTGACATTGCAAACAGACACTTCTAGTTTATTTATCTGTTTATGGTTATATTTTAAGACTGTAGTTATGTGGGGTTTAGAAATTAATTGTCTATTATAGAGATGATGGACGTAGATAAATAACAAGACGGCACGAAATACTTAACGAGTCGATCCCAAGCGGGAACAACCGAAAGTGTACGCAGGTATTCAAATTATTACACCATAGGCCATAATGGCCTGGTTTTGTTTTCGAGTATCGGTAGGTAAACCGATACTCGATACAAAGGCTTTATTATTATTTAAGGCTATTGGTTTTACTTAGAAGTAATACTAAATCTATTTCGATGAAATCTTTTACAATATGCAATAACAAAACAACTTGATTCGTGATGAGCTTTTAATTTTTATGATGACTTTAAAACAGGCTTTTAACCGACTTTCATATTTCTAAAAAGGTTCTGTATTTAACTTTTTTTTTATGCTACACGATATTGGCGATTGTTCGCGAATGGAAAAGTTTCTTGATTTTGATAATATAATTTTTAACGCAATGGAATCATAATATAGATCCTAACTAAGAAATCAGTGATTTTTTTGAAATTTCCGGTCAAAGTCATGTGACGTCATGAAATTATTCTTACAAGTGCAACTTATAGTTTTATAACTTTTTCATTTGCTGAGTTATATTAATAATTTTTTCATATTTTTGATATACTTTGCTTACATTTTAGAATTAACACACGCATGAAAAAAAAGGCAACCTTATCCATTGTTTACTGCAATAGTTCCGTTAAAGAATATGAATATAAAATTAAATGGGCTTTGAGGTTCTTACAAGACAAAATATAAAATCAAAATTAAATCATTTCTAGGTAGAAACGGGGAGGTTAATATAGTTTTTAATTTGCAAAGGGTAATTTATTGAAGAAAAAAAAATCGTTTTTTCTTTTTCTTTTGATTCGAAAATGTGTATATTGGATTTCTACCCATTATTCACTCGCCGATTCTACGGTTTCCCTGTTAGTGAACAGACGTACTTGCGTGGGACTTACTGCCTTAGAGCACTTTATAAACAGGTATATCAATAAAGGTTTCCATGTCAGATATAACTACAGAGCATTAGCTATATAATATAACTATATCAGTGGACTAGTGGCTAGCATTTAATGCTGCAAATGCTAAGGAACTGGGTGTTTGTGTGTTTTAATTACTGTTGAAAAGTTGATCATGTTCCACCCCCGTGCCTCGGAGAGCACGTGTCGCGTCCTACGACTTAACTCACACCCGAGCATCAAAATATGGTCCCATCGGACTTTGAGAGTAAAAGGTATAGAGTGCACGTGTCTGCGCGTACACCGACACACGCACAGCACAATATCTTCTGCGCAGATGGTTAGTCTCAGTGAGATATAACGCCGTGGTCGAAATAGGTCAAAAGGAGATTGCTATTAATATAATAACCAAAACATATACATTTAACCAACAATTTTGCAGCAGTCCAAGTGATGCCGCAAAGGAAGAATACAAAGTGATAAGCGAGAAGCTCGACAAAGTCAACTTGGATGATACCATCAATAAGTCTTTGGATGACGAGACGGAAACGCCTCACCAAGTCCCAGAGAACGTGACCGACTTCGACAAAGAGAACTGGAATGACCCCTTCCAAGTCGCCAACTATGCTATGGACATCTTCAACTATTTGAAAAGTAGAGAGGTAGGTATATTCATAATTTTTTGGTTTTATTCTATGTACATGTACACAACACGTTTGGCTCAGTTTGCAGTGACCCTACTTGCTGTGCCAGCGGTCGCGGGTTCGAGTCGCTGGGCGCATTCATTTGTGTGATGAGCACGAATGCTTGTACTCCAGTTATGGGTGTTTATATTTATAATATGAATGTATTTAATGTAATATATGTGTATATAATCGACTATCTGGTATCCATAACACAGGCCTCGTAGCTTACCATGAAACTGGATGGTTCTGTGTGTTAATAAATTTATCCCAACATATTCACATTTACATTTCCATTTTGCTCTATCAGAGACATCGTCTTCAGAAACTTAAGTGTTTATATTAGTATTAGATTTTCTAGGTGTAACATATTATGTATGTGTGATCAAATATTTGATCACAAAAATTATAATATAGATGCAAATGTTTGAGAGTTAGTCTTGACTCTGACTCAATGTGGGAGACCATTACATATTATAAAATAAAACAAGTTCCCCGCCGCGTCTGTCTGTCTGTCTGAACGCGATAGACTCAAAAACTACCGAACGGATTTTCATACGGAGTTTCATCAATGGAGAAGGTTTATATGTATTATTCATTACGGTTTTATGTACATTGGCTGAAATATGCCGATGATTGTTGAAGATGTCGCCAAAATAAAGCATGCCGACTTGGAGCTTTTTTGGTGTAAGCCGCGTAAACCAATAGTTATAAATATGAAAATAATGTATTACGTAATTATTTCTCTTAAAAATATCTATAAAAGTGTAGCAACGTTGTGTGTATGTACATTTTACGACAGAGACTCACGCTTTATAGGTATACCAGAGAACACATAGCAACTTTTTACACAGACGTGTATTAACTATTCAGTAATAAAAAATAGATAAATTTATTTAAAAAACACTAATACAACTCTATTTTAAACCACTTTAGCGGTTATTCATCATCGACGACTACCTCCAAAGGATGAAAGGCATCACATCCTGGATGAGGGCTCTCCTAGTGGACTGGATGGTGGAAGTCCAGGAAAGCTTTGAGCTGAACCATGAGACCCTGTATCTGGCCGTGAAGCTCGTGGACTTGTACCTGACCCGGTCAAGCAAGACCCTGCCAGAGAGGGAGCAGCTGACGAAGGAAGAACTTCAGTTACTAGGTGCTTCGGCACTATTCATTGCATCCAAGTTTGATGTGAGTAAATTTTTAATCTGTTTTGAGTTTATTGTAAATTTTTGTTTTATTCTTTTATTTTGTATTTTTTGTTTTCATCTTGTGTATTTTTGCAAATTTTATCTATAAACAAAAATTATTAAATGATCAGATGCTTTGATCAACAATACAGATAATGTGTCACATACAAAATCAAAGCTAAATTCTGTCCGCGCGAATATGTACTTATACAGCTACATTTGTATACTAACGAACCAAGACAAATTCTTATAATAGTTTTATTTTCAACCTAATCAACACCATACCACCTTGTAATAGAGTCACAAATTTTCAAATTATCGTCACACACTTACGATCATTTCGTAAGTTTTATAATCTTTATTGTAAAATCAACCTTATATTTTAAAAAACATAAAGCACTTTTTCCCGTTGCTTCTTTGTGAGATTTCGCAGGTTAAATCTTAATCTTAATGTACATGTATTTTCCGAAAATATGACACTCCGTCTCAAAAGTTTCTTCTTCGCGCGTTATTTTTGCAACTTTTAAATAAATATTGCGGCATTGTGAACGTGTTTACGTTGGCAGTGTTTCAATAGAACTAATCGAAATATACGCTCATTTTGCAAGTGAGCTTCTATGCGTTGCTAATCCGTTGATCCTATTATGATCAAGCTTTGGTGGGTTATTCTGTATACACCTGAAAAAGTTTCTGACACAAATAAATAATTTTTCTTTGGACGTTTGTCTTTTATCCATTCCTAAAGCATTTAAGCTATTAAAAAATAATAAATAATGTAAACCATTTCAGGAACGAATCCCTCCTCTAGTTGACGATTTCCTCTACATATGCGACGGCGCCTACACCCTCAGCCAGTTGCTCAAGATGGAGATGAACATTCTACGTGTTATAGACTTCGACCTGGGCGTGCCGCTCTCCTACCGCTTCCTCAGGAGATACGCCAGAGTGAGTCATTTCGGTTATTTGAGACATTATTATCATTTGTGGATCCAGTCCCTTTTAACGGCCTGCCTTCAATGCGAGGGGGATCAGACCATAGTCCACCACGCTGGCCAAGTGTAGGTTGGTAGACTTTTTTTAAAGTAAAAACTTCTATAGGCAGGTTTGGATGGGGAATAAATTCATGCAAGTCGTCATCGACATGTCATGTGACATGTTAACGCTAACACTCAGAGTGCTGATAGATGTTAAAACCAAATAAATGTAAACAGTTTTAATTTAAGATCAATCAATTTGAATATCTAAAAAGAATTGTTGATAGTTTTAAGTTTTCACTTCTGCCGGCAGTCCTCATGACTGCTTTTTTTTGTATGTTTGTGTGTGTCTGTCTCTGTGTGTGTATTATTTTTATTTGTTACTTCTTCATGCTGAAATGATTATACGGATTTTAATACATAGGCTAGTTATACACCTGGTGACATACCTGAGCGAAGTTAGCATAAATTGCGAGTGTTTTATAATATACTTTGTCTGCTTTCTTTTTACGAAAATGATTGGCCAAATTATATTATCTATACAGATAAATAAAATTGAAGTTTCTGTTTGTAATGTCAAAATAACAGCTTTTTACTAAATACATAGGATGTATATACACGGTACATATACCAAAACAATATTTTTTACAATTTTTGTCTGTCTTGCGGTTTGTTCCGGCTAATCTTTGAAATGGCTGGACCGATTTTGTCGGAACTTTCACTTGCAGATAGCTGATGTAATAAGGAGTAACTTAGGCTACTTTTATTTTAGAATAAAATATAGGGTCCCACGAAAAAAATTTAAAACCAATGAAAAATTTAAAACTATCCAATTCAAATAGGGAAGTTGTATACATACTCTAGAGACGAACCCGAGCGGAGCGAGGGTGAGTCGTTAGTTATATCTAGTACTAGCGACTCCCCCATGCTCCGCTCGGATTTATTCCTACTTACGTTTTAACGTTTAGTGTAGATTTCTCAGAGATGAGATATTTCATAATAAAAAGTATGTTATATGTAGTCCCGGATAATTAGCTATCATCACACCAAATTTCATCAAAATAACTCCAGTAGTTTTTCCGTGATGCGGTCACAGACAGACAAAAATTCTAAAAACTATTGGTTGGGCCACTGTATTGATAATATAATGTCTATTTCGGTTAGATTTTCCAAAAAAATATTTTATGTACAGATTCGGCATAGTTACAATTTTATTATATGTATGTATGTATAAATACAAAGATGTGTCATGTAAATAAAGATTTGTTTTATCCTGTATGCTATTTCTCCCAGTGCGCCCGAGTGTCGATGCCCACGCTGACGTTAGCGCGGTTCGTGCTGGAGCAGTGCCTGTTGGAGTACGGCCTGCTGAGCCACTCGGACAGCAAGATGGCGGCCGCGGCGCTGTACGTCGCGCTCAGGATGAAGTCGCTCGGCAGCTGGACGCCCACCCTTCAGTATTATACAGGTGAGTTTATATTTATTTTGCTATTTTAATAGTTTTTGTGATTATGTAACCAGGGAGAAGTGGAATTTTATGCATTCATTGTGTCCATCAGAACCAACCATCTCTTTGTTTGTCACAGCCATTTTATTTGGAGATTTGATTCTATACAGCTGTGACATGGTAGATTTGAACTGCTGTACAATGTTGTAAGGTTATTAAGTAAAAAAAGTAGGGATAGCAGAACTATTATATAATAATAGTATAAAGAAGCAGAGTTTGTTCATTAGACGTGCTAATCTCAGGAACTATTTATTCGATTTGAAAAATTATTTTTGCATTACAAAGCCCGTTTATTGAGGAAGGCTTATAGGCTATATGTCATCACGGCACTACCCAAGGGAGCGGAGCAGTATTATAATTAATATATAGTCTATCTATTCCATACTAACCATTAAAACATACCTAAGGATGAACACGAAGCAAAGCGAGAAGGGTAAGCCACTAGTCCTAGTAACTGAGGTATAAATGAATTAATTGTAAGTGATAAAGGCACAGCATATTTCATTTTAAAGTATGCTTTGTCAATTCAGACGTTCTGTACAGGATTCAGACCAATACTTGTCTTATTTTGTTTTAGTGTTCTCATAACTATATAATTTTGAGAAATTTATGATTTTATTGAAAACTATTTGTTTACAATACTAGCATTATTATATTTATTTATCTATATAATTTCTAATTTAAATTTTATGCCAAGATGGAAAATTTTCACTTTCCAGGTTACAGCCTAAAACAAATCCTTCCAATAGCGCTCGCCCAAAACGCTACCCTTCACAAGAAACCAAAATCTGCTATCAGTACCGTAAGGAACAAGTATTCGCATACAATTTTCTTTGAAGTGGCCAAAGTTCCCCTCATAGACGACTCGGTACTGAGCAGTTGAGCAACATTATGGCACTTTGCATGACGGTGGGTCGAAATTATAGATATTTTGTGAAGTAAGGCTTAAGATACTGTTAAAATGTCTTTCTTTTTATGTAGAAAAATTGACTAACTCCCTGTTAAAATTAGAAATTATTTTGAATCTATAAGAAAAGTCTATTCGAAAGAAAAATGTCACAGTAAAAAATAATTGCAATAGCGAACGACAAAGCCGCAAACCAAAGAAGAGTATGTAATATTAATTAAAATAGTTACAATATGCCTATAATATTATTGAAAATAGAAATACATTTTTTTTAATCTGTGTCACTTTTCTTTTTAATAGACGATATATTGATAACGAAACGTTCTGTGTATCGGAATGTTAAATTATATATTTTCTTATTGTTATTTTATTTATATTTTCTTTTAATAATGGAGTGCGAGTTTATGGGAAATTATAACTTTCATACACAGCCAAATGGAGCTATGTAACTTAAGCCTTATAGTTGTTGAAAATGCCAGTGCATTGTTCTGATGTAAAATAGTTTATATTTAAATTGTTAAGACACATTAAGCGTTGTTTTCATCACTGTTGTATAAAATATACTTAAAAATTGCAATCCTACAGTGAGTTTTGCTGTGAAAAAGTAAATAACCTTAAACCTTTTTTACACCTTTTTTTCCAATAACCAAATTAAATGTATTTCGATTTTATTCTATTAACGATATTATTATTATTTTTTACCATCAAGTAATGTAAACTCAATTTGTTAACTTTTTCACAGTGTTTTGATATATGATAGGTAATTTTATCAAGAGTGATGGTATCGGGCTTAGTGAAGTTTGTAAGACATTAATGTAAAGTGCCACCCGGCTCTATTGACTTAGGAAAAATTCTCATTTCGTTATAATAGAATTTAATTTAGTAGGTTAACTATGTATGAGCAGTCGTAACGTATAACGTTTAATATTTACTGGTGACCTTAAAACTAAAACCAACCTGTACTTACGTACTTTGACACTACATTTTTGTCTATAATTATTAAGAATATATTATAATTTGAATTTCCAATACAGCCACAAAAAAAGACTGAAATGACGCGGTGTTTATAGGTAAGCTGATATGTGTATTGCCTTTGAAATCTATGCCATTATTTGGCAAATTGGTTCCAATTATATTTTATTTGTTGGAACACAATATCAAATAACATTATTTTAAACAGATTGTATTGACATATATTGTTTATTATGTTTGATTTTGGAACGTTTTCTTTGTTTTTCAACCTGTAAGCTTATTAAAATTGTTCTTCATAGATAGTGCGTACAACAATGCCAGCTATCTCGACATAGTTAGCGATCGCTATTTGATTCGTGCCGCGAAATCGTAATCATGAATGATTTCGATGTATTATTCATTGACGATTGCGATTTAGCGGTAGGAATCTATAAAATAGCGATCGCTAACAATGTCGAGATTGCCGATGTATTGATAAATAATAGATAATATATGCGATTTTTTTGTCGTTTAAAATAATCTTATTTTGTATATTCCGTACCACCGATAAGACTTGAGGCGTTTACCCTCCAAGCTATGGAAATGAAACTAAGTTTCTTTTCACTGATCTTTGATAGTTTTGTTTAAAAATAAACCAAAACCACGCCAAATTCTCACTTTCCAACACAACTTCGATAGATACGTACGTCCGATACAATCGGCATCTGCCATGAGTTGCTATCGTAAACTTACGTTACTTACTATAGTCACCAACGTATTGATTAGATAGTGTAGACACATCGATACGGGCGTTTTTTCTTGCGTTTATTTAACGCGCTCGCTAGCGAGTATCGAGCATGTCTCATGGTAGTCACGATTTTTGTAGTAAATGTCTTCCTATAGTCAATTATAGGATAGTGTCAACTTATTTAGCGATACTATTATAAGTTTTGTTAACCGTCGTCAAAAAAAGGTGATTAATTCATTTTTATCAGATTAAATTTATGTGAAATTTGCCTTATTAGCTATTTATAGTATAAAATTTTACAAGAAATCACTTGTTATTTACAAAACAGAGACCAAATTTGACGGCGGTTCGTTGTAAAAAGTATTTTTAATTTGTGCTCGTGTACCACTCGGCTGCAGTGTATCAATAAATAGGCTTATTAGAAATTAATTTATTAGATACATATGGATTTGCATTTAATATTACTGGTTTAAAAAAAAAACCAAACGCTTATTCTGTTTAAGTTAATTTTCCTGTAATATATGAATAATTGATCTGTGCGTTGTGAACTTGCAATTATTATTGTCACTCGGGTCAAAGGTTGATTTGATGTTGTAAACAATTGTTTGATTTGTCGTTTTAGATTCTAAGTAAAACTATCTTTTCCGGATTATTTCGCGGATTTATTTTGATATTTGGCTCCCGACGTTTCGAATGCTTTACAGCAATCATAGTCACGGGAGAGACTGAGGTTATAGGCGTCTCAGGTCATTATATAGTTGTTACAGACAGTACCTACCCAAAACATTACAAAATGAATTAAATTTCTGAATCGCAAAAAATCCAGAAAAATAGTTTTATTTAAAATATCAAATATTCGCGTAAATCTAAGAAAGTTATAAATTCTTTTATAAATGAAGATAAAAAATTATTATTTAATTATCATTGATATACAGAATCAATATCATTGGTTGGAGTGACAGTTGTAATAGCAAGACACAAACGTTCCGTCTGTTTTGTCCCAATCGGTACTGTATTGAAGTATAATAAATATATATAAAATTGTAGCTTATTTTAATTGTAAGGCGGCTGTCGACAACTCGCTACCGACAGACTGTTTTTTATCGGCACTTTGCTACCGTTTTAATTATAATTATTATTATTATTAAATGGATTTTGTATCATTTTAAATAATTTACATAGTAAATATTGTGAGATTTGCATCGTCGTATGTTTTGTAATTTATCGCATTTTAAAAGAGTACAAAATATTGGAATGTTATAAATAATGTTGTTCATTTTGTGGTAAGTTTTAGATTAATTAATTTTTAAAAACTGTTTTCTCATCATTTGTCTTAATTATACAAGGTTCATGTAAACTGATGTGTAAATAAAAGTGATTTTGGTTTGGTAACTCTATTTTTTCTTAGTTGGTTAAATGAAAAAAATGTATACTCCATGTTGTGATTTAATCACACTTTAAACAATATTTTAAGAAGTCTTTATGACACATACAAAAGTTACAAAACTGCCTATGTAGTAGGTACAATGCTTGACAAGCAAAGAGCTCCAGGAAGAGGGTTTATATTATTTTAAATAAAACTATTTCTTTCAGATTATTTCACGGTAGGTTACATATAACAGCATACCCACAAAATTACAAAATGAATTCATGAGTCGCGTAATAATCCGAAAAGATAGTTTTATTTAAAACGTCAAATATTCGCGTAAATTTAAGAAAGTATTTAGAATATATCAAATTGATTTCATGCCATTGAAAGGTTGCAACTCAATAGAAAGAAAACGTCGAGATTTTGAATGACTGTTACATTTTATATCCTACAATTCATTCTCAGCAAATCAGAATCTCAAAGCTCATCTGTATCGATAAATAACAATGAAAATTGATAAAATAACAAATGAATCGAAACCTTATATCTAAACTATTGAAGACTTGTGCATATTCAACTATCACCCAGAGCTTTTAATCATTATAACTTAATCACAAGCTATAAAAAATGCATACCGTAACAAATAATACATAATATGTATTTGAGGTATTTTACCATTCAAATTCCATATTTGAGATTATATGAATTATAAAAATAATGTTTTTAAATTTAATTAATCTACATGTTAATTATAAAAATTTCCATTGAATGTTGTATTTGTCTGTCTGTAAAAACTTTGATATGACAGTGGCTTAGTGGTGCAGAAGAACAGTTGTGCAATTATCTTAAAGCGCTTGTTTTTTTTTCCTTTACTGATTATTGCGCTTGTAATGGCGTCTCTTATATTAGCATTATTGACCTACTAGCGACGCACCCTTGCTTCGCTCGGGTTCGTCCTTAAGTTGATTCCCCACACAAACTTTCATTCCCATTTTCACCACCATAAGGGATATCCGGGATAAAAACTATCCTATGTTCTTTCCATGATCTCAAGCTATCTTCATAGCAAATTTCATCCAAGTTGATTCAGTAGATCCAGAGATTACCCCCTACTACCTCACAAACTTTACCTCTTTTTAACTTTTACATCTAAGTATAGACTTAGAATAAAGATATTTGAGACCCACGTCTGACTTAGTATAATTTAGGTTTTTTGCAAAAAACCATTAGTCCAATCAGTTCCCAAACTCCTCAAGTTTCCCTGGTTGGGAAGTGGGCAGAGTTCTACTTGTGTGAAGACCACTGTATTTCTTACTTATTGTGTCGAAACCGGTATACTATAGATTATGCGTTATAGATATTATAGCTGCTATCAGGGTTCGGAACCGGTCAATGAAAAATAACGGTTTTTATTTATGGTTAGCGGTTATTCTTAGAAAAAGGTTGTATTTCGGTTTTGGAACCGAAATAAACTGGTTATTTTATTCATAAAATAAGAAACGTACATGTGTCCTAATATCCTTCTAGTTCTACTAAACAATTCGCATGTAAAAATTCGCTGAAATTAAACGCACAAAAACTTATTTTAACCGGTTAATTTTGATAATAAAACTTTCATACTTCAAAATTCTCCGGGATTTAACCGGTTAAAGAACGTAACCGAAACATTAAATCGAAAAGCCTTTTGGTTCGGGGTCCTAATGACCGAATGGGTTTTCGAGCCATGGTTAATATACATATATGTATATACATATATCATTACGCAGACCCTCACTATAATATCTCCTACGCATACATATTTATCATCTGTCCTAAGCCGTTTCGTAGATCTAATAACATTGATTTACGTATGAGATCGTGAATAAAAATTATTAATATATATATATATATATATATATATATATATATATATATATATATATATATATATATATAATATTATTATTATAACATCGCAATAAGCACGCTATTATAAATTGTATTTAATATCCTTATTTCATTTTTAAATGGCGATTAAAAATTTGACTTAAAACGAAATCACAATAATCTGAAATCAAATCAATAGAATGACTAAAATTTTAAATTATAACGAAGTTATAAGTTATATTTAATTTCATCGAGTCATTATTTTATTATAATTTAAAAAAATAAGGGTTTAAAAAAATTTGCAGCAATGTCGCCAATTATATTGCTTGAAGAGCCGAAGAAGCCAATTTTCCCTGCAAAGCTGACCCAAGACCAGACAATGATTATATTATTATGTGATCCTAGTACGTAAAAAGTAAAGTAAAATAAAAAAATAAATATGTTGGGACACTAACACACAGCACCATCTAGTTCCATGGTAAGCTTCGAGGCTTGTGTTGTGAATACCAGATAGTTGATACACTACACATATATAACTTTTAATACATACATATTATAAATATAAACACCCATGACTGGAGTACAAACATTCATGCTCATCACACAAATGAATGCGCCCAGCGACTCGAACCCGCGACCGGTGGCACAGCAAGCCGGGTCACTACAAACTGAGCCAAACTGTCGTCAAAGTAAAACTTTCAAGTATTTTTGTCAAATCCTTTAAAGAGCTATACGGTACGAGACAGTAGCGGTTAGTGGTACTATTCAGTGGCTTCTAGTAAAACCTTCAAGCTTGGGCTCATTTCATTTGTTTAGACCAAAAACGTATGAAACATACAGTTAGAAAAGATTTTTTGTTTTCTAAAACCAGAATAATTTTATTACTCTTCAAATAAACGCGAAAATATTTAGACGAAATGTTCAAGACTTACTCCGTATGTATATAAAACTTTTGTCACTATTCCTATCAGTAGTGAGATATATTTTTGAAGTTATAATTGTTTTGACACGTTTGGAAAACAATATGGGAGTAAAATTTTTACGATGTGCGCGCACACCGACAGCCAAAAAGCGACATTAGCTGCTTTCCTTTTACAAACAGAGAGTTGTGACATACGGCAGAAATCTTAAGCTATTTTTGTTCTGTTACGCCAAATAAGTATAACTTTGTGCGTACATGAGAACACACACCTATTTTTTATGTACTCAACATATATAAAACAAAAGTCCAAACGATTGCATTAAATATTATCCGTGTCATATCAAAGAAAACGTACCCTGTACTAGACTGTTATAATATATTTATCAAAAAAATTGGCAAGTTACCGGTAAACAAAAAAAAACATACAAACATTCAATGGACTACCAATATGGTACAACCAAAGTTATATTCAAAGTGAATAATGAACACAATATAATGAATGTCAATTGAAAAAAAAAATCCTCGGAACATCTATTAGTCAATGATTTATAATTTTTACATAGAAATCACAGCTGCCGAGTCATTTTCAAATTCTGAAATTTCTTATATATTAATTAAAAAAAAAAAAAAACATTGCAAATGGGACTTATTATAATATAAACAAAAAAGGCGGGATGAAAGGAGCGATGCTCCTTAGATGAGCTTACATAAATGGATTGCTTACATCTAGTCTATATACAATACGTTCTTATACAACAAACGTGTTAACATATTTACATTAAAGTTTTGATGCTTTGGCTATTAGAAGGGCACTCGCTTTATGTCTACACTATGATAATATATCAAGTTCGCTATTAGGAACTAACGCCATAGGCTACTTTATGCACCTGAATAATTTCAGATGGGTTCGTATTACACTACACATATCCATTAGTCGAACCCATTCAACTCCTTATTAGGCATCAATAATTTTATATTTGGTACCAATATATTGTCTTTCTATACTAATTACTATTATTGTAACAGCATATTATTGGTTTCATTACAAATTGTCTCACAGAACTTAACACAAGTCACTAACACTGCCAGTCCGATCCGGACACCCATTAATGTATCGACCAATCTATCCTGAAACTTTGGCTTCCAGCCCGACTAGTGTGGGATAGTTCTACATAATCTGGACATCTTAAAAAATTGTTAAATCTGAATAAATATCAACAACAAACATTACCAATCAGAGTATATGCTTGCAAATAAATCCAGAATTCCACGGGTATATGATAGTCGAATACAGATGCCGATGCATAACTTCATATCCCCGAACGAAATTGAATGTCCATACATTTCCTTGACCGTTGTCACACCACCTTAATATTAGCTGGGGCTTGGTGATTTGTTGTTTTCTTGTATGTCTTGAGACTCATGCGGAGACTCATTCATTGGTTGGGCTCTCGGAGAAACTGGTCTGAAGGTGCATTCTAGAGAATCAGAGTCTGGTGTTCCGGGGGTAGAAGGTGTAAGTCTGTCTGTGCACATACGTTTTGATATAGAGGAATCCCCGTCGTCGCACCGTCGCTTGCCCACTAACACGTTGGGTCTAACCGGACTGAAGGAGGACGCTCGTAGGGCGATTGGAGATAAACTCCGCCGAGTTGTGAATTTCCGTGTGGGTGATGGTGACACTACAGGCGAAAACCTGAAACAGAAATATGTTTTGTCAATACAACCACATCTACATTATATCTTTAGAAATGAAGACAGAAGTGGGTGAGAAACTTCTGTGTATTGATGATTTTTTTTTATTTACCCCATTTTAACTCGTAATAAAAGGGTAGGTCTGGTTGCCTGTCTATGGCATTGTAGCTTTCAAACGGATAAACCGGTTTTGTTTTTTTTTTTTACTGAAACTAATAACGTCTCACTAAAAGGCCTCCCATCGATATATGGGAGATAACTTAATGGTAATCATGTTATGACTATTATGTTAAAATTATATTGAAAACTGGCGCCTCACCCTCGCCAGCTTGGGTGCGTATCTAGATGCGTTTTAGCGATTAGTATAGATTTCTCAGAGATGAGATATATGTGTTGACCCGGATAACCAGCTATCATCACACCAAATTTCATCAAAATCTGTCCAGTGGTTTTCTCGTGACACGTTCCCAGACAGACAGACACGCAAAAATTCTAAAAACTATAGATTCGGTCTTTATATCGATAATAATGACTATTTCAATAAGATTTTCCAAAAAATATTTAATGTACAGATTCGACTCAGAATTTTATTATATGTATAGATAAGAACAATGAGAAGCCCAGGCTCCAGGGCAAAAGCTAACTGAGAGATAAGTCATTTAAAATCTATTATAGAAAACTTATACATTGTAAATTAACAGTTGTAATTACAGATCTATTTTTTGTTTAGACATTGATTTGAAATGAATCATAATAATATTTATAAAAAATAAATAAATATTAGTAATTGATATAGAAAAACTCAAGAAACACAATTAGCGTCTCAAAAGCGTCCTCAAAAAGAAAAAAAAAATCGATTTTTTAATTTTTGTTCATTACTTTTAGAAATACAAAATGAAAACGCACGTTGTGTCGTTTAAAAAGGTACTATAGGCGGTGTACGTAAGTTCGAATTTGTGTCTAGACATGTCACATGTCGACGCCATTTTTTTTAGAGATATTGGTTAGGGTATGTGTATCTATGTACATATATCAATGATATTTGTATAATAATCTTACTCATGATGTTTGATAAATATAAACATGTTACATGGCACTCAATCTAATGAAATGCTTTTCATATCGCCACTGCATAGTGTTCAAAGGCGGCACTTAGAAACAATTCTATCAATAAACATAGATGATGCAAAAGTAGAAGTAAGTATTTTGTATTACTAACTCTTAGAATAGATAAATTGTATGTGTTTTCGTTTTAACTTCTTTTTTCTGTGTAATTATGGGTTTTTGCCTGAATTAAAGATTTATTATTATTATTATAAATATTAATATTATTCCATGTAATGCGGCAGTTCTAATAAAATTAATAATTATATATTTATTATGTCCATTACACTTACAGTACAGTTACTTGTATACATATAATAAAATTCTAACTAAGTCGAATCTGTACATTAAATATTTTTTGGTAAAACTTATTGAAATAAGCATTATTATCGATACAGAGGCCGAATCTATAGTTTTTAGAATTTTGTCTGTCTGTCTGTCTGTTACCGCATCACAGAAAAACCACTGGAGGGATTTTGATGAAACTTGGTATGGTGATAGCTGGTTATCCGGGTCAACATATAGAATACTTTTTACAGCGGAAAAATGTTTCATTTCTGAGAAAAAATACAAAAACTGCAATGTAAGAGTAGTTTTGGTCATCTGGCCGCGGGCAATGCTAGTTATTAATAAATTGAAGTGTACGTATATAATTCCATCATAACTCCAGTACACTTCGCAATCAATCAATCAATCAATGAATCAATAAGCGATAAAAAAATCGTACGATGTTACTGAAATCTGAGAGGTGGTTTTAAACTTGCATCAAGACAATAATTTCTAAACAATTTATATACAAACATACATTCGTTAGGTGAGCCAGGAGAAGGGTAGTGGAACTCTTCAATGGCTACTATTTACAAGTAAAACTTTCAAGTTTTGATTCATTCGTTTTAACAATCCCTTTGTTTGAACTTATTTTTAGGGGTTATAGTTAAATATTACTCTTTTAACCTTTAATAAGACCTAAATACCATAACTATCCCACCCCAAAATACACGCTTGCACAGTCGGATAAATTAACAAAATAGTAATTAAATCTAATAAACCTCACCTAGGCACCCTCGTGGGTGAGTTGGCCAGGCCGACTATCGTCAGGTCCTCGTACGACTGACCCATTTGCATTGCAGTGTGCACTTCCCTCTCGTGCGCGACCTCCCTCGTGTTGCTGACATCCGCACACTCTTCTGCTCTTAGCTGGTTAACCCGAGGCGTCAGTCTGCGACCACAAGTGCTCTGGAATATTAGATTTATCCGTGTAAAGATTAGGGCTTTTACACACGATGGCTCTTTAACGCGCTGTCTTCGCGCGCCTGTCACAAGTTTGTCAATCAATATAAACGTAAGTGTACAGCTTTTGAAGTGAAACTTCTTTAGAATCGTTGCAATTTGAAACTCGATGAAACCGAAAACGCGACACGAGAAAGAGACAAACACATAAATATATAGTATTAAGCCGGCGAGAGAATGAGATAGAATACATGATTAATTGTTGCCATAGTAACCGTTGTTATTTGTCTGAATGAATCGTTCATTAGCGCGTTTATGAAACGCGCACCATCGTGTATGTAGACTCTTTAATTAAACATACTCGTATGTTTATTCTTACTTTTTTCCGATATAAAGATAAAATAATATATTAATTATCCTTCATTTTTTTTTTACAAAGATAAAATATTACTCTTCAAATTGTAATTAGTTGAACGCTTCGCTGATTGATTTCCAACTTTTTGTTATTATCGCAGCAGCTAATTAGTGACACAATATGTCTCATAATAAAAGAAATATAAACTAATATTATAAAGAGGTAAAGTTCGTGAGTTTGTGACGTTGTAGGGGGTAATCTCTGGATCTACTGAACCGATTTAGATGAAATTTGGTAAGAAGATAGTTTAAGACACTGGGAAGGACACAGGATACTTTTTATCCCGGAAATCATCCCTAAAGTGGTTGAAAATGGGGATAAAAGTTTTTATGTGGAATATATTATATTATGGTTATGTAATATATTTATAATATTAAGTAATATGTTACGAGTGTCGCTAAGTAACTAAGGACATGCCGTCATTGAGCGAGTCCAATATCTTTGTGTACATACAGTACAGTACAGACTACAGTAACCATTCCTGTAGCTTATATATGGCGGTAAATGAGCACAAAATAAAAAAAAAATAAAACAAATTATGTGGGAATTAGTCTTCATAATATTGATATTGTTGCTGAAAACAACTTTGAAGCTCACAGTTGTCATCTTGATATCAAGATAAATTTTAAAAATTTTAAAAACTATGCCGATATCTACACAGGAATTTGTTCATATTTTATTGTTATCTTGGAGTATACGATTAGTAGGTATAGATTTCTCACAGATGAGATCTTTTCCAGCAGTAAAAAGTACTCTTTATGTTGACTCGGATAACCTTTATTCTTTTTTTTTTTTTTTAACGTTGGGAAATGCATTTACGCACGACGTGTGGGACTCACCGGCGTAATACAGCCAGTAAAACCCAACAAAACCTTCCCCCGTCTTAATGGGGCGTCGCAGGATCGCTTACGCATTCAACTACGACGCCCCGACGGCAGGTCTGCCGAAGCAGACCACCACAACCATGGGGTTGCTCCACATTGACTCGGATAACCTAAGCTAAGCTATCATCACAACAAATTTCATCAAAATCTGTTCAGTGGTTTTCTCGTGATACGTTTCCAGATAGATAGATAGACAGAGAGACAAAAACTGTAGATCCGGCCTCTGTATCGATAATAATGACTATTTCAATAAGATTTCCCAGAAAAAACAAACAGATTCGACTCAGAATTTTAATACACTTATGTAATTAAATAGATAGATTACAAAAAGAAAAATCACAATTGCGTAAAAATTGAAAAACATAAGACGTTGTAATTTTTTGATATAAATAAAAAAATATTTAAACAAGTTTGTTTTATTTAACTTATTTTTTTTTCAAATACGTAATAATATTTAAGTACTACTAATACCTATAAATAAAGCTGGTATTAGAATCGAATTAAAAAAAACATATACAATCGTTTTACACCAACAAATTCCTGTTTAGATATCGATTCGAAGTTTATCATAAATAATTTGAAAAATTTCGCTGCTATCTTAATATTAATGTACTGTATGGAACTGTGTTTTATCAGAATCAAGCTGAACAAAATCAATTTAATGTAAAATACTCAGCAATAAAATTGTACTCAGCAACCATATTAAAAAAAACGGACATGTGGGAGTCTGACTCGCACATCGAGGGTTCCGTAACATTTCCGTAGCAAAAAAAATTGTGATGCAACTACAAATTTGTGGTTTTCGGATATATCCCTTTACTTATGCTAACTAAAAGACATTGGCTTCATCCCATCATTTCATGATTCTAGTTCAACAGGAAGTAACATATTGGTTTTGATTCCCTCGCAAATGTTAAAATATGCAGCCTAAAAATCGTATCTTTTGATTACGTTGACTTATAAGTTAGATTTTTTCACAGCTCTAAGGGATCACAAACCTGCGTAATTGATATTAATTTCACCTTGATATCTCCACGTGTTCTTGAGAAAAAGGGTCTAAACATACAGACAGACGGACAACGAAGTGATTCTATAAGGATTTCTTTTTTTTCCTTATGGAGGTACGGATCCCTAAAAATATACTAGTATTTCAAAATCGATTTGCACGACGAAATCAATTTCATGGCAATTTTTTAACAATAAATTCATGTAAATTTCGCGCTGCTTCCTACACTACCTTACATGTTTCTAAAACGTTCATTCGATTACGATAAAACTCTGGCGATTTGGAGTAGGTATAGCTCAGAAATGCATAACATAAAACCATGCACACACAAGAATACACATAAAAATTTTTAATTGTTCTACCAGTCGATAAAAAAGTAATAATATCAAGCAGTAAATCTTATCACTGGATGGAAGAAGTTGCATTTGATTACATGCATTTTATTTGTACATTTTCTTGGATTAGTTACTTATTAATATTTTTATGATTATTTAAATAATTATTTTTTTAACTTATTCGCTTCGTTCGCGTTCGAGTTCGTTTTATCGGTTAGTATGAAATAGATAAACTATATATATTAGGTATATACATAGGTATGATGAGTTGCTGTGGTTGTGAGGACCCTATGTCACTCTCCAGCCCTCCAACTATTTCTACACAAAAAATTCCGCCATCTGTCAATCTGTTTCGACGTAAAAGAACAAACAAACACACTTTCACATTTATAATATTAGTATGGATAGTAGTAGTGGTGTGTATAACTTAGTTTACAATGAAGAGAAGTTACACTGACTTGGAGGCTAGCAGGTATATTGACGGCCGCCGACAGGGGACTGCAGCTGATACTGTTGCTGCGAGTGCGTGGAAGACTGTTGTTGGTGAACATTCCGAAAAACGTTGTGCTTCTGGAACAAACCGAAAATATTAGTAACATAACTGGGAAATACGAAGCTTATAACTTGATGAAACGGGAAAAATGAGAAAATAATTCCACCACCAGACATTCACTATAGATTATACAACCATTTTTAACCAAAAAACATTTTTATTTATATTTACGCGAATATTTGACATTTAAAAAAAAACTATCTTTTCATCCGTGAGCATGATTTCTATAAACTTAGAATAATAATTCTAAGGCTGTAAAGCATTCGAAACGTCGGGAACCAAAAATCTAAATAAATTCGCTAAAAAACCCAAAAAGATAGTTTTATTTAAAAAGATTATTAAAAACATACTTTTAGGGCTCTACTGGTATAAATTATTAAGACCAGCTTTATTTAAAAGAACTAATTACAAACATTTCTATTCAATATAACCAACGAGGTAAAGCATACTCAATATATTCATACATATACGTAAACAAATCATAAAAATTGGTTCACAATCACGACGATATTGCATCACATTCACAAAAAAATATGCAACCAAATTGAAAACTTCCGTATTTATGACGTCGTTTAAAAACAATAACAGAAGTTTCAAAGAGCTTTTCATGGTTATAATGAGAACATTATCGTATTCCAGTCATCTTAAGATACATCTCGCATTTCTAATAACGGAAGCTCTCAGAAGGGACGAGTTTTACAGACTTAATTTGTGAATATTATGATATCAGTAGCTTTTTGCAAAATGTGCATAAAAAAGCCTTATAAGTTATAACCAAGAGCGAATCCAGAGTTATAAGCACGGTGGAAATGCCCATCCTAATAATTGAGGTCGATAGACTGATGTTGTATGAATGCCTTAATAAATAAATGAAAAAAAAAGCAGCTTTTTTAATAATACTGTCGCTTTGTTTTCTATTTTACGCAAAGTAAAGAACCTTTTTAGATATGAAATATATTGATCATGAGTAAATCGCTACGCCTATACCCACTTAGCCATTTTCCAGATGTCTGTGACCACTGCCTTTTTTGAGGACTGGGTCCGCCTTTGCCTATAACCTTCTCTATTTCTATTAGTAAAAACCGTATGAATATCTATACAGTAGTTTCTGAGATGAATCCGAACAAACAAAAACTCTGCGTGGTAGGGTGAGTAATAATGTTCTCCTGACCGAATCCGGCCACGGCGGCCAATTTCATTGAGACTAGCCAACTGCGTAGGAGATATTATAGTGCACAAGTGTACGTGCAGACACAAGTGCACTCTCTATTCCTGTCACGAAAGACTCAATAACTAAACTTGGCCCGACCTCGGATTCGAACCCAGGACCTCCGAGTGTGCAGCCGTACATGCTAGCCACTACACCACCGCGGAAGTATAATAATATATATATTATTCCCAGTATAAAAATCTAAAGACAAAGAATTGCATTCCCCACACACTTGCAGTCGGTACCTACATACCTACCACAAATGCTTACTATATATTTGTGTTAACCTAAATACGAAACATATTTCACAACTCTAAACACAGCAAGATTTATATTACTTTTCGTTCACCTTTCAATTACATACTGTATACTTTGACGACACGTTTGGCTCAGTTTGTAGTGACCCTACATGCTGTGCCAGCGGTCGCGGGTTCGAGTCCCGCTAGAAGCATTCATTTGTGTGATGAGCACGAATGTGTGTACTCCAGTCATGGGTGTTTATATTTATAATATGTATGTATTTAAAGTTATATAATATATGTGTAGTGTATCAACTATCTGGTATCAATAACACAAACCTCGTAGCTTACCATGGAACTAGATGGTGCTGTGTGTTAATGTCCCTATATATTTATTTATATAACAATACCATAAAGAGCTCAATGTTTTTATACAATGTTTATTGAAACAATAATATATGTAGTTTATAAGCAATCTTTGAGTATACTTGAAATCTACTATAATTATAAATAAAGTATCTGTCTGTTTTGAAATAGCTACCTTATGACACAATAAGAAATCCAAATAATGATAAAAAATGTATGTTTGTTTTCAATTCAATTTTCTTGTTAACGGCTTCAAAGTGTGTTGTATATTTGTTTTAACTCATTAAACTTCGGAACAACTGAATAGATTCTAAAAATATTTATTAAAAAGTTAAAATGCAGATTGAGATGATAATATGGGTACTTTAAATTATTAAGTCTCAGAAGAAAATATTGTAGCCTTAACTTGCATTAAGATATAAATATATATTGTACCTAGAAATATAATCAAAAACAATATTTATCAAGAGTGGTATCTTTCATATTCATACAATGAAAGATACCATTCTTGATATATATATATTTCATAATATATTCATAATATAAATGTGAAAGTTTGTGAGGATTGATGTTTGTTATTCTGTCATGCAAAAACTACTGAACAGATTTTGATGAAATTGTACAGTAATATAGCTTACAGAATAATACCAGAGATTATATAATACTATACTAGTGCAGATGCCTCATCCCATACAAAAAATTGGACAGCACTAATTTGAGCTGTTCTTCGGTCAATTTTTGTTTGCTTGAATAGATGTTGTTGATTCACACATTTATGAGTTAAACTGTTTTATTTTCTAATTCAGTGACTTTAAGAATTTTTAACCATGATAAACAATTCAATACTGATATTTCAATAATCAGTAAAATTACGGCAATATGATTTACGGGTGCATTGTTTCTTTTCCCTTCACTAACAATATTTTTAAAACAATAATATACGTTTTTTGGGTCTAATTTTTATCTTTTGTTAATTTAACACAACTTTAATAACAAATCGATACATGTAACGTCATCTATTGACAATTATTTGAACTAATTTTTCTTTACTTGTGACGAGACCCCATGGTAATAGATAAGCATAAATTTTTAAAAACATGGTAATGTGCAGAACGCTAACCTTGCATATAAATAATAATCTTTTACTTTATTAAAAAAATATAATTATTAGGTGATATGTCTCATACTTAAAGTATGTATGTGAATTTTATTGCTAGTTTGACATATGAAGTCATGTCAATAGGTTCAAAAAGAACTGATTTATGATAAAATCATGTTATTCATAATTTTTCTGGGAATATAATTTAATTCTTTGCCAATCAGTCTCTCCTGTGGCCATGATTACTGTAAGCATTCGAAACATAAGGAACGTAAAATCAAAATAAATCAGCAAAATAATCTGAAAAGATAGTTTTATTTAAAATTTCTTTGCCAATTGTATGCAAAATGCCAGTTCTCTTTGGATTTCTTTATAAATTTTGCTTAAAAATACTTCATCTTCAATCATGATATTTTAATATTTTTGTTGGGTACACTACACATATATTGCATATTTATTATATTATTTAACAATAAATTGCAACTTTAAATATGGTAGTGGATTAATACTTATTCACTCTCTGTATTTATTATTAGACATTTACTTTCTTAATATTAATATATAATAATGCTAATTCAATTTAAACTAGTATATGATGCATTTTTAAAGATGATATCACATAGAAATAGAACAATAATGTACAATTACAAAAATTGAAGATAACTGGACACATTTCTGCATTCCGCATAAAATATATTGCTATTTTTAATTTTAATGGATTGTCTGGATTAAACAATACAGCATGAACTCTTCATTATACGAGCTTTCATATAAGAATAAGATTACCTAACATATATAGTTTTAGTAGAATAAAATAATAAATAGTACACAAAAGGGTGGACTATCAACATAAACTAGCATCATACATATTATATTGGTGGTATGTATTATCTCTGCTTCTTTTTTAGTACATTATTAACAGTTAAACATGTATAATATGCATTTTGAACTTATTGTAATCTATAAAATTAATTATTTGATTTTTTAAATTGTTTTGACCATTTAATTAATTTTATTATTGACAATAATACAATTATATTATTTATGTTTTTTTTTAAATGAGTGTAGACCCTACTTGTATTCAATAAAGCAATCAACTACTTTGGCATAGGGAAGTCACTAAATACTAACTATTTAAATCCTAAATATGAATTATATTAATAGCGGTTAAATATCAAATTTAAGCTATTCTCACCTTAATAATTCATCACATCCATGTTTATCATAACACTATAGTTTTGATAACAATATATTTCTAGTAAATCTTATTATAAAATAATAAGTCCAACATGCATTTATTAAGTGTAAAAAATAGTGCTAAATGCGTGCACGGCACCCACTGGCGACCTCAGTAGCTGTCAAAAATAGGCAGGTACGTAGCGACAACCGATTCGGGGCCTGTGGGAGGCGTGTCGATTGATCTAGGTATTACCTGGGCGCCGTGTTGGTCGTAGGCGATGTGGCTGCTGTAGACGCCGCTTCATTGATAAGAGGTGCACTACTGCACCTTTTTAGTATGTTAGGAGTATCCACATCCATTATCTTTTAGCCAACATTCATCAACTGACGTATCGTGTAGTTATATGCATATGAACTGCCGATACGATTAGCGCTCTACGTTAGTGTTTATGTAACACTGTAAGTGCACTTGGATTCGATCTAATACATGAAGTATACTACTATAATGACTACATTAATATTACTTTTAACGCGAAAATAAAAACATAACGTAAAATAAAATGAAAATACGCTACTCGGAAAGCTAAAAAGAGGCTCGAAGCTGACCTGTCAAACCGCCGCAATAGAAACGTTCGAAACAGTGTAAATAACTATAAAATATGTAGCGTTCTAGATATGTCACATAATTAATGACAGTTATCTCTGATCTTTAAATTATCATTATTTAACTTTAATTGATATAATAATCTCTTAAAACATTGTAAGAGTTAATAAAAGCCTTGAAATGATTTTTTTAATGTGTAGGGGCTTTAGTTTAGCTACATTCATAAATAAACAACGCATAATGAATCGCAACGCTGTTATTTATATTCTGTAATCCCAACTGTCAAAATTCTATTTTTTTTACTAAAATAATAATATTTACATCTTGAATACTCTAAATGATTTCACAGATCTTTTTGATAAGATAATATTTCATTTTGATTGAAATGTTCATAAACGAGACTCATGTATTTACGAAGAAGGTTTTAATTTTTTTTTATTTAATCATTATATTATAGATTTCATTTAGAATTCTTGTAACATTATTTTAACTTTTCAGTACCACTTTGAAATACCTCGTAGCGGCTCCATTAGCTGTAGCATTTTATTGTGAATGGCTTGTATATGTTGTACAGCCTCTTTTTTGGCAAGAGCTTGTATGCAGTCAACCCTCGAAATGTACAAAGATACTGTTTATAGCAGATCCCCAAATACAGGGAGAACAAGCTGTACCTCCGCCTTTGAGTTCACTTTTCAATTGGGATAGTGATAGGTTAGTCATTTAATTTGCTCTCAGATGTAAATTATGTGTGTGATTTATATTTGATTATTTATTTTATTATTATTTATATAATCAATAAATGTTATACATATAATAAAAAATAGTAATAAAGTGAAATCTTTACATTTATACAGATAAATACAATTGAAGTGTTTGTTTGTTGTCAAAATAACAGCTTTTTACTAAATGCATATGGAATTATATACAGTATTTATAAGAAAAATACAATTTAATTTTTTGTCTGTTTGTTCTGGCTAATCTCCGAATCGGCTCAGCCGATTTTGACGGGACTTTAACTGATAGGTAGTTAATGTTATATGGTGTAACTTAGGCTACTTTTATTTCAGTAAAAGAATTAAGGTTATGCTAAAATAAATTAAATGAAAAAATGTACCTAGAGACGAACCCGAGCGAAGCGAGGATGAGTCGCTAGTATTTTTTAAAAACAATGACCGTTACATATTTTGTACAGAATGTAGGCCTCAAAATAATAGTAGTTGAAATTTTTGTCTGTTTTTCTGTATAGATATACATTGTGTGTGCATTTCATGCAAAAACTACTGCAGGGATTTTAACTAAATTTTGTATAGTAATAACTAAAAAGATCAATATTTAGGATACTTTTTCTACTGTATCACCTAAGGTACACACAAAATTGTTCGATGTATTTAAAATATACCTAGGGATGCATCCAAGTGAATCGAGTACAAGATGCTAGTTAAAATAATAAATTTTATATCTTGATATTTACAGGTATCTAAGGTCAACATTTTCAGTAGCAATAAGACATTTCAATCCAGACGCTCTAGTATACCTAGGTGACTTAATGGATGAAGGCTCTATCTCCACTATGGCAGAGTTCCATGGCTATGTGAAAAGGCTCGCTAATATATTTAATGTTTACTATCCAATTGCGGTACTATAATATTAATATATTTTTAATAATTTTCTGCATCATGTTACTATTGTTTTTTTATAAAAATATGACAGAATGCATGCATAAGTAAATTGATTTAAAAAAAAGCATTTAATTTAAGTTATTATATAATTGCTCCCCAAAATATTTTTTTATTTTACAGTTTTATAATATCAGTTTTAATTAAGTGTATATTTTTTTCTGTTTTACAGCAAATATGGCTTCCTGGTGACAATGACATAGGTGGTGAAAATGAACCTATAAGACATGATAAAGTTGTAGAATTTAATAATGTTTTCAATCAGCAATCTGTAATAAGTTTCAAAAATATCACTTTCTACAAAATAAATTCAGTTATGTATAAAGTGCCTACAGGACCAGACGACCCAGACTTAAATGTAAAAATAGGTGTTTCACATTATCCTGTTGCTTCAAAGGGTTTCTTTGGAAGACAGGTAATTACATCTACACTAATATTATAAAGAGGTACATTTTGTATGTATGGCATAATCTTTGAAACTGACCACCAATTATCAGATTGTGAAAATTCTTCCACTTATTGGAATCTACAATATTAATGTCCTCCTGACCGACCTTGGCCAGGTGGCCAACTTCACTGAGTTATGTTCTCTGATATATGATGATCTCTTCTAGTTCACTGATATTGTAGTTTACTCTTGTACATCCGATGGGACGATACTTTGACACTCACGGTGAGATTTAATTTTGAGGCGCAGGACCGGCGTGACGCATACTCTCCGACTCCAGAGGTGTAATACTGCCAACTTTGCTTCTCCAACGAAAATCTTAACAAAAAATCTTAGTAATTAAATTTGGTCTGACCTGGGACTCGAATCCAGTCGCTCCGGATCTGTGGATGAGACCACCGAGGCAGTTGAATGGAATCTGTTTTTTTTTTATTCTGATAAAAATGGGTTTACTGTCAAAAATTAAATAACTTTAATTGAAATTATCAATTCTTTAGTACATTATTTTGCTCGTATCTCATAAGATCCAGCTAGTGAAAACAGTATCAGAAACCGTTACGTAGTTTAAAAGAAGTGAATGGAAAAACAGACAGTCCAAAACAGAGACTGCTTTATTTAGACACTAGCAAAACCCGCGGCTTCGCCCGCGTTCAAAGTACAAAAAAAGCAAACTCTCCTTTCCCTTCCCTTTACAATAATGTATGGAAGTCTGCCCAATTTGTTGATATTTATGTTTACTGCTCTGCTCCCCTGCGTAGTAGTATGAATATATATAGGTAGTTTTCCAATTACAGCACTAAAGCGCATTATGGGGCATAATGCTCTCAACATCGAATTTTTCAACTACAGCAACGCTCCACACAATCAAGCACTTAAAAAAGTACTGCTTTGTGAGACCACTCGGTAGCAGAAAATATAAGGAGTGTTTTTTCGAGTTGTTCGTGAATTTGTACGGCATTATGCTCTGTAATTGGAAAACATGGATTCTATAGCCTTCCTCAATAAACGGGAATTCTATTGCAAAAAGATTTTTTCAAATGGGACTAGTAGTTCCTGATATTATAAATATACTTATTATTCCAATGTATGTTCTAGGTTAACAAAGCAATACATGCTGATATATATTTTTGTGGACACGAACATTTATCAAAATATGTACGCCAAAAGAAGAACTTTGAGTCTAAAGAAACATTTTCATTAAAATCTAATGACCCAGTATTGAATATTCAGTTGGATGATGATTGGCTGTACGAGATATTTGTGCCTACATGCTCCTACAGGATGGGAACTAGTAAAATTGGATATGGAGCTGCTGTTGTTGGTAAGGGGTCTTAAATTATAATATACAAGCATCTCTTGATGCTGGAAACTCTAAAAAAGGATAATTTTTAGGGCTCCATACTTCAAAAGTAAAAAATTAACCCTTATAGATTCACTTTATTATCCATCTTTCTGTCGGTCTATCAAGACCCTTTTTCTCTGCACCACGTGGTGGATATTTTGACATTCGCAAGGGGATCAATACCTGTAAGATACTTCCATTGACCTAGAATTAAATAGGGAAGAAGCAATGTCTTATAGCACTAGTCATTGTTAGTAATTGCGATTATAAACTTATTTTAATGTCAAACTGTACCATAACAATACAAAACCCATGGTGTGCGAATCAGATTAGATTAGATTTTTTTTGCAATATATTTATAAATTATATCCCAAGGCCTCCATAAATAATACCTTTTTCTATTGTAAATACCTTATGAAAATATGTACAATGGTTTCTGAGATGAGCCTATGACCAACAAATTCAGTCAGCCCTAACTGCTTTAGTACGTAATTTAGCAAATTCTGCTTATTGCTATGCTCCTTTGTCAACATGTTTACATCTTTCTAGTTCTCTTTTACGCTGTCAGGTTTATAATTTTTATTAACAACTAGCGACTCACCCTCGCTTCGCCCAGGTTCGTCCCTAAATACATTTTAACGCTTAGTATGGAATAGATTGTGATGTTTTAAATGTTATTCTGCTATTCGGGGTGACAAGCAATCCAATAAAACAAAGATCATAAAAATAGGTTCAGCAGTTCTCGACTTATAAGTATTGTACAAACCCGACTATGTTTTATATAATAGATAATAATATATTTATTATAATACTTTATATAATTGAAAATAAATTGTTTCAGAAAATCAGAACGTGAAATATACTGTATTTTGGTCTTCACAAAGGTTCCCCCATTTATTTGCCTATTTATTTATATTAATAATAATATTGTTTTATATTTGTGTCTTTGGTTGTGTACGCTTGCTCTCTAGACAGATAGTAGCCAAGAGCGATGATATTCTACCTCTTCTACATCGATCATAGATGAAAAAAAAGAAAGAGTGTGTATCAATGTGTATTGTGTACACGCCCAAGTGAAACTTTTTTAGGTTATTGGTACTTTTTTTATGAAATTTAATTTATGTTTTAAAAAATTAGGATAGGACAGATACTAAAAAAATATTTTTTATCGATTTAAAAAGAAAAACAATATTTTATTATTCACATAATATGTAGATAGATGGTGGTAAGATAAAGTTTAATTTTCAATCAATGTTGTAATGATTCAAAAAATTATATATTCCAATAAAATAAACAACAATACAGGGACGCAAATTTTTTAGTGAAAAAAAATTTATAATGTATAAAAAATATTTCAAATATTTTTTTACCAATTTTCATTTGATATGATTCCATCGCTTATTTAAAAAAAAGGAGTTTCACTTCCACCGTTTCCGTTACAATAATCGTAATTCGTAACGCCAATGCTTTTTTCCCTCTGATGGCGTGCCCAAAGATGTTTCACTTCAATAATTTAAATTGTAGATTTGAATTTTGTTATAAAATAGTTCGTTTCTCTTCTAAATTTCTTGCTTTATCAATTATTATTTGGACACATCCAAAGATTTTTACATCTAGATCCGTTGCACAATAATAGTGGTCACGTTTTCGGTTATTTACGCGTTACCATGATAACCCGTGGTATTTATGTATCAAGTGTACCTTGCGTCGTTCACTCTAAATCACCGGGACGCCCGGCAGATGTGAAACATCTATGGAAATATAAGAATTCATACATATAATAAAATTGTAATTAAGCCGAATCTGTACATTAAATATTTTTTGGAAAATCTTATTGAAATAGACATTATTATCGATACAGAGTCCGAATCTATAGTTTTTAGAATTTTTGTCTGTCTGTTACCGCATCACAAGAAAACCACTGGACAGATTATGATAAAATTTGGTATGGTGATAGCTGGTTATTCGGGTCAACATATAGGATACTTTTTACCGCGGGAAAATATCTCATTTCTGAGAAAAAATACAAAAACTGCATTGTAAGAGTATACCAATATGTAAAACCTAAGAATTTGGTTTTTCGTCACTCCACCGCATAGAGTATATTGTTACATAAATAAACTCCACCGTTTGCCGTAATAACACCAGTCGGTTTTACTGCCAAGGCGCGCCTATAGATGTTTCACGTCGAAAACTTGAACGTGACATTGCTAAATTACGAATTTTCTACTTAATATGTAAATTATTGGCAATAAATATTAGATATTTAAAGATATATTTTAAATATTAGATGTTTCATTATGGTGTGTTATATATTTAAGTCTACTTTATTATCCTCTTATTGATTATGAAGGATGAAAAAGTACTCTGAATATTTGAAGACAATATTTATATATTTTTATACTCATCTATTAAAAAAAATTGAAATAATCCATTCTCCTATAATTTCTATTTTGAAATTTACTAGACCAATAATTTTCATTTAGTACCTATAATATTATTATGAAAGAATATGAACGAATATATTGTAACAGTATTGTAAAAAAAGTGACAATTGGTATGTAATTAAATGTATTAGCTCAAATTCCTTTTGAATTACAAAATTCTCATCTATTACAAAATTTCATCCCTTATAGTTTATCCTTATTAGTTGTTTATAGTAATATATAATAGAATTTTAATATATTTCATAGTCTACCTAACAATACTTCTATGCTATTTATAGAAGGTATGTGCCAATGTAAAGACTGTTCGGATAAACCATAGATAATATATTTTGTAGTTTATAGGGACCATTGGGTAGCCAATTGTTTTTGTAATTTAGCAAGATCTAGGTAGATTATTATACCTATTTACTTTTTAGTATACTTGAGAATAAAATTAGACTTCCAAAATCAATTTAAAAGTATTTTCTTAAGTCCACTTGTACCCGGTGATCTTTTGTTGAAATTTATATTACCTTGAGGTAAAACCTAATTATTAAAAAAAATGAGTGTGTGTAAACCTATATGTGCTATTGAAGAAAAACCTCTTTGGTGCTGTGGCAGTTAATGTTAATTAAAACAAATCAAAATATAAATGTATAAAACTATTAATAATAAATATATATGTTCATAAATAATAATTATCATAAAAAATATTTTTTTTTTTTTAATTATTAATGATAAACTTTAACTTCTGTGACACCCTTAGTAAAGCCTAAAGAAGTTTTACTTCAAAAGAACCTATATATTATATAGTATTTACATTAATTAATAAAAATATTGTAGATTATACACTATAAAACATATATTTAAATTTGCAAAATTATATACAAATTAATGTAAGATGAAATGTTGACTAGAGATGAAAATTTTTATATAAGTACAATTTTTTTAAATGTTGATATAATCTTTTAAGTTTTAGAGAACTAGTATATTAAAGCAATAACTTCTTATAAATTTAATATATAATTAATTGTATTATAATATAGGATTATTTTGAACTTAATTTACATATTTATGTTGTTGTTTATTTATTAAAATAATAAATGTTAATATTGAACTACGTATTATTACAAAAATGAATAAATTTATTGAACAATGACTTTTTATTTATAACTTAATACCTTTTTTATTTAAATAAATAGTTAGACCAATTGTAACAATCATGTAAGCATTTAAAATTATAAATGTTGTAATTGAAGGCAATAACAAAGTTCTAAATGATAAATTAATGATGCCAGTGCTCAAATTACATATTAAGAAGTAAAGTAAGCCATTTTCATTGATAGCTTGTAATATTAAAGGAACATCAAAATTTAAATTTCTATTTTTAATTGAAAAATTAACTTCTAATGTATACGTAAGAGTAGCACAAGTCACTAAAACTATGCATATGAAGCTGCAATATCCGGCATTTGCTAATGTTCTTGATGTTGGACTATATTTTGTGGTAATATATAAGATCAGATATAGTATCACATATATTATGAAAAAATTTTTAAGCACACGATATCTTGAAATAGTGTTATTGCTGTACACTTGTTTTAAATTTACAGCAAATAAATATAGAGCCACATATCCCAAGCTCGAACTGATACCTTCTCTATTTGCATCTATAAAAGTGAGTCTTGGCTGATCACAGAAAACCCAGTGTTGTAGTCCATTATACAATAAAAATTCATGAGTAATTATTACAAAAATACTTAATAGCAAGGCATTGTTTGTTAACATCAACAAAATGCTTGAAATTAATTTACAAACTGCAAGTGTGAAAAAAAAATTCCAATGTACACCATATTCAGTTACATGCTCCTGATAGTCTAATTGTTTCACTGTGAAATATCTCGCCACACCAAGAAACAATAATATTGATATAAACTTTGTATTTCCTTTTAATATTTCTTTATAATTATTCTTAGTAACATTTTTGTGCACAAGACCACTCATAAGAATGAAAAGTCCAACACCAGTGTCCATTAAGCTATATCCATAATTTTCAGTTTTTGCTAAGTGCCTTGGAAAGTCAGCAAAGTCAACTGCTAATATACAGAGTGCAGTTATAAGATATGTTAAACCTCTTAAACATGTTATAGAATGTATTCTACCATTTTCAAATACATTTTTGGATTCCATCACATTGATTATGTCTAAAGAATTATAGTTATTTCTTATTTCAACCATTAAAAAACAGGAAGCACCCAGATTTAATCCAAACATATAGTCCGACAAAACTGTATGGGCCAGAATCATAGTTAAAATAATAAAGAAATATTCCTGGAAATATTTAACTGAATTATTTTTTTCTTGTCTAACCGCACACACCAATGTCAATTGTAGGGTGAAAAATATGCACATAAATGTATGAAATGGCGTCGAACCATGGTTATTTTGCATGAATGACTCATGGTACTTCTTATATTCCGATGAATTCATGTTTGTGTATTTATTTATTATATGCCTTTTTTAACGTCCCACAGCTGGGCACCGGCCTCCCTTCAGTACGAGAGGAATCAGGCCATAGTCCACCAGGCTGGCCAAGTGCGGGTTGGCATTTATTTATTAATATTAACAAATATTATTTATACACATTTAAAAAGGAAGACATTTAATAAATAATTTAATTTAAAAGCTATGTTTTGTAATAATTAAAAATAAACTGTAACTGATTACTGAAGAACGTCAGTGTCAGCTGTCAAATTTGACAATTTTTTGATTGTTCGTGCTGCGAGCAATAACAAGCATGGAGCAATTGTATTTAAATGAACTTTACAATATATCTGAGCGTATCCTTCTTATAGACTTCTCAACGAGAAGGACAGAGACAGAAATACACAATATGAACTTTCATAAAATCTATGGAAGGTGGAAGTTAGGAGGACTTTTCAAGCATTTCGGTCAAGCCATAAACGAGAAGTACGCTTTAGAAAGTACCTACCTCTTTGAGGGTACTAATCGCCATAACAATAAATACTTTTTTGACGACAGCGATAGGACCATACTCGCCAGTGGCTCCAACTGGTGCCGCCAAAAACGATAGCTCTGATTGAAAATTAATTTTATAAGCCAATATTTTAGGAACCAAAACCTAAAAATGTACCCGACGCGGATGTAGCGTGGCGTGGACCACTTATATTCGTAAAGTGCTGCTCTTGCCCGATTGAAAAGTGCGAATTGAAAGATTGAAAAAAGTAGAGGGGACATACTGTTGCCTACTAAACGTATCCCTTTCGGTATACTTCAGATTAACACATTTTTATTTAATAAGATTTTTCCAAAAACAATTTTCAGTTAAGGAAGTCTTTCTAATTATTCCTATATTAAATTCTATAATTTAAGTTTTACAATAATACATGGACCTTTTAAATTTTACCTACCGTTTAGCTAATTGCCAAAAAGCCTTTTTTTCATAGAAATATCACGAATTTCTTTAGATAATATGCATTAAAAACACTGTGAAATGTGTAATAGAAGCTTTTTTGTTAAGATGTATTATAGACGCTGTGAAATGTGTAACAGAAACCTATCTTTTAAGAACCTAATATACATATTATATCTACTGATTGTACAGAATTATTTTAACACAACGTGAAACCTAATTTAAATGCACAATTTAAATAAAACTATCTTTTCGGATTTTGTCGCGGATTTATTTGTATTTTTGTTTCCCGACGTTTCGAATGCTTTACAGCATCCATGGTCACGGGAGAGAAACGTCGGGAAACAAAAATACAAATAAATCCGCGACAAAATCCGAAAAGATAGTTTTATTTAAAATGTCAAATATTCGCGTAAATCTAAGAAAGTATTAAATGCACAAATTAAATTTTTATGTTTTAGTTCCTAAAATCAATAAAAATTAAAAATATTCAAATATGTAGGTCTTAGTAATATAATCAATTTATTTATTTAATTTAATAATTTAAAAAATAATACGCGATGAACCTTAGTAAATCTGTAATAATGTTACTATAATATGATATATCGTTGATTAAATAAAAAAAAAGGAATCTGAAACCTGAGCAGATAGTTTTGTGTTCGTTTAAATATCTCGAAAGGTTTGTTGGAACAATAAAACTTACTTGTAAATTATGTATTTTTTATTTTCTTATTTTACACAAAGACTAGCTTACAACTAATTTGTAACTTATTACAACAGATTATTGTACAGTATAAATAAATTCGTTAAAATAACACTTAAATAATCAATTTCGGAACCTATCATTTAACATAGGCATCAAAACTATTAAATGTGAGCTTAAGATCGGTCAATGACAACAGTATGCAATAACAGTTATTTGGCAAATTACAAAGCTGAGCTAGAATACTGTACGAAAATTTAAATAGTCTTATCCTCTAAAATTAGTTTTCGTAATCGTAAGGGCGTTGAGGACGTCTCTGGACTAAGGGTATGTTGACTTCTTCAGCTGATCGGAATACTTGGGGCTGGTATTGAGGACGCGCTGGTCTCGCTTGTTGTGCGGGAGGAGGTCTGCGTGGTTCTTCTTCCTATAAGGTAAGATTTTTTCATTATAATGTATTTACGTTAATTAGAATTATTTTTAACTTATCTACAATTTGTTATTTCAATAATACTTCGATTTCAAGAACAAAACTTAATTTAATTGAAATAAAATTACCTCTTCCTCTTGTTCATAACGGTCATCCCTGTACACCTCAGAGGGGTAGTAGCGGTCAGAGTATTTGAGTGATACATTAGGCTTCCTCTCAACTTCTTCCTCGTTAATGGGACGATAGAGGTAGTCGTTGATGAAATGGTATTTCTGAGATTTTTGGCAGATGTTGTCGTGAGTTGGCGGCATGCAAATTAGATGGACCTGAGAATTTGATATGAAATATCGTATTTTTTGTTCATTGTTTTAATTTCAAGTAAAGATATTGTAAATTATTTTTACTGCAGAAACAAACAATTATCATTGTCAGTTAATTAATTATGATTTAAAAAGCTTTAGGTGTAAATATTACCTGATGGAAACTAAAACCTTCAGGGCAGATCCAGGAATGCTTCACATTATCCTGGCAATAGTGGAACACTTCACAATTTAGCTCCTGATCGGCGTAGTATCCAGTGTTCTTGTTTACACAATCGAACTTAGACTGTTGCAATAATGTGGAGAGACGGTCGGGTTCTTCTCTATCTTCTACTATTTCTTCTTCGTCTAGAAGCTGCTGTTTAGTTTTTGTTGGGCGAGTCCCTTGAGGCTATAAAAAAATTAATAAATTATGTTAATATTATCTTATTAATTATTGATGGGATATGGTTAAGTATTTCAATAAATGACTATAATTATTCTGGGAAGAAATCTACAAAACGCTTATGATCTGTTCATATTTAATGAAAATAGAAGTTTACGATAAATTGCTTTTAGTAAAGTGAAAAATACAATTTCTAGTTTTCATCTTTTACTTGTATTTAGCCCTATTTAACGTCCCACTGCTGGGCACGGGCCTTCCTTCAATACGAGAGGGATCAAGCCATAGTCCACCATGATAGCCAGGTGCGGATTGGCAAACTTTACTTAGTGCCATAAAAATCTATCTTTACCTTCCTATGAGGTGCCCTCACTTGTTGAGTCTGCTCCTCTTCATAAACCTGAGGTCTGGTTGGTATTTCATATTCCTGTTGCTCTTGCTGTCTTTGATATCCCGCCAGTTCGGCCAGAGAAGGAGTGGGTCGAAAACCACTCGGTAAGGTGTTTGAATAAGCAGCTTGTGTATACGCACGTGGTCTGAGGTTACGTGTTTCCTGGGGACAAATAAAGAAATTCCTATAAGATTACTTACTTATATAAGATTAATTACATAGTAGTTAACTGCCTCGGTGGTGTAGTGGCTAGTATGTACAGCTGCAAAGTCAGATCCTGAAGTTATCCTGAAGAATCCTGAGTTCGGGTGCCGGATCGGGCCCAGTTTAGTTATTGAATCTTTCTGTATAGTAAGTCTCAGTAACAGCCCGGAGTTGGGAAGTTGGCGGTGTTTCACCCCCGTGCCTCGGAGAGCACGTAAAGCCGTCGGTCCTGCGCCTTAACTCTCACCGGTCGTGTCGAGCAATCGTCCCACCGGAGTATGAGAGTGACAGGAATAGAGAGTGCACTTGTGCTTTATAATATCTCCTGCGCAGTTGGCTAGTCTCAATGAGATTGGCCGCCGTGGCCGGAATCGGTCAGGAGAACATCATCATTACATAGTGAAGGAATGTTTCAACTTTTGATGCAGCCATTAATCTTAATAATGTAAAAGGACTTTCTAGTCCTAAGATGCCGAGCTTATTTATTTAAGACTGTGTTTTCTAAAATGTATTGCTTTCCCAAATTTTTAAATTAATTGAGGCGTAACTTACAAGCGTACAGATCTCACACTTTCATATTTCATATTATTTTAGAAAATAATATTATTAAAGAAATTTTCGGAAAACATTGGATATCGGTCTATTCTTCTGATTCATTCTATTTACTCAATAAATGTGAGTATTCACGCATTAAACGATGTATGTACTAATTGTTAATAAAAATAAATCATAACTTGTTAAAGGTTAGTCTAAATAAATAGTAGAAATTACAAAACACTGTGGGTGGCCATTGTCTGAGTTAACACACATCCCACGTATATGATACGCGCAGAGGATTATAAATCATTGCGAGATTTGAACACTATCATTAAAACTAAAGGTCGATAGTCACTGGAGATCTCACGAGAGTTACTTAGGTGCTTATTGCACCGAATGTCATAATAAAAAAAAAAGATTATACAGATAATAATTAGTGTTCTTATCTTAGTCTCTTCATCCACTCTATTAGATCTATTCTCTTCTGTATGTAGGTGTATTATAAAATTTAAAATACAATATATAATTAACATGATTTATCGTTATAGTTAAAATGAATAGTAGGAGTGTGGGGTTCAAATCAGTCATAATTTTAATTATTTAAACCTCGACACAAAAAGAGGGTTGCTTTTAGTTTAACGTGTATATCTGTGTATATGTGTGTCTGTCTGTGGTATCGCAGCACCCAAACGGCTGAACCGATTTTAATTTAGTTAGTTTTTGTTCGAAAGGTAATTTAATCGAGACTGTAGCTATAAATCAAGACAATCCGTTTAGCCGTCTGTAGACTATCAACTCTTTTCTAGATGGTAAAAGGATATGAACAACTTCAACAGATCTAATCCATTCCAAACTTAGCATCCCATTACTTCAATGACATTACGGTATGATAATCATTGCCTGATGCTGCAGCGTCAGCTGGAATCTGCAAGATACTCAACTACTGCACTTACTAAAATACTGCAGAGATATCGTGTTTAAGCTCATTGAAATGGCCTTATACATTAAGGGTTATTGTGTTGGCGATTTTTTAAATATTTAATTTAATTTCTTGTAAATTAGTATTCTTATAATTTGGTGAGCTCTGTTATTTCTTCATTTTAAGGATACCATTATACTTATACTTTATTTTTAGTAATTAATAAAACTTTTATTGATAAACTAGAGTCTCATTTGTGATAGAGTATTATAAATATCGTCATAAATATACATACATATAACGATGCTGCTTTACTCAAATATCTGATTATTTAGATTACTCAAAATAGTTTAAATAAATTTAATCGAAAGTAAAATTAAATACCTTACAAAACTATCTCACACTTTCCGGTGAATAATTTCGTTAAAAAAATGAAAGGCTGTAGATTTAAAAGGAAAACTTTAAACGATAAAAACGTCAATCACTTCTTAATAATTGCAAAATTGATCTATTGGATAAAAGGTTTCGATGTAGCTATTCCATAACACGCGACACAATGATAGTCGTGTGCGCCGGAAAAATAAAAAAATAAAAAATGATTTATTTCGTTGCATATTGTAACCGTTCGTGCGCGACGACTGTTTTTTTTGTTAAATTATATCATAGTAGGCTTAAATATAATATTTTTAGAATATAACTGCTTTTGGTGAACATAATATTGCTAATAATTGTATGCGGTTTTCGAATTCAGCCATTTCAGATTTTGCTGATTAAGTCATTGCTCGAAAAAGTACACTAAGTAGGTACTATCATTAATATGAACGTTCTTAAATGTCTTGTGCGTATCTGTGTGGGTATATCTGATATTCTTTAACGTTGAAATGGTTGCATGGATTTGGATTAAACTTAGATCGAGAGAAGAGGTCGATCAAGGGCCAGATGGGCAGAACAAATAGTAGCGATGGCGGCTGGAAGTTGGCTGGACACGGCTAAGGATAGAGAATTGTGGCATTCCTTGGGGGAGGCTGTTACTCGAACGGAGTCCATACAAAGTGTTAAATGTTTTAAAAAAACCGTATGGAATTAATTAAAACTTTATTATTACTATTAGTAATGAAATTTGCCAAAAGGTGGCGCCGTCTGTACAGAGTATTACAAAATGTACCTATAGCCTAGGGGTAAACTCGAGGGTAACTGGAAACGAGGATAAGTCGCTAGATACCCACTAGTAACCACTTGTGAAAAATCAATTACAATAACTACTCAACACGTTTCATTTTATATATAAAACACGCCTAATTTATATTTTATTACGATTAATTAGTACAATTTATTTGCTACATAGTAATTTATTATTTTTAAAATGTCAAAATATCCCGTTTTTCTTGTGCAATGTTATGTAAAACATAGATTAACTTCATAAATAAAGAAAACTTGCGAAAGTACCGAGAGCAGCGCCCGCCGAAGCCATGCATTAGCATTTTCCCATGCGATGACACTAATGAATTGCTCGCACTTTTTACTACTAAGAGCATGAAAACAAGTATGTTATTGCTTATTATGTAAGCGACGTACACATTCTACATGTTAAGTAATTTCTCAGCTTAAAAGACACATGTTACACATGTTACTACTATTACATATAATCTAATATATAAAATTTCCATGTCACAATGTTAGTTACCGTACTCCTCCGAAACGGCTTTACCGATTTTTACTAAATTTTATATGCGTATTCAGTAGGTCTGAGAATTGGCTACTATCTATTTTCCATACCCCTAAGTGATAAGGGTGGTCAACATCAAAAAAAATGTTATGATTCGGCATTAAAAAATACATACAAACCTAAATTTTCAGTAGGGACGAACCCGAGCGGAGCGAGGGTGAGTCGCTAGTATATCTATAGTATCTGAGCAACCGAACTTCACTCGGATTTTTTTTTTTTTTGGGAAAGACATAGGTATATATTATAAACTTAAAAAGGAAAACCTAACGATTTGATCCAAATCCTTAGAGTCGTTTCCGAGATTCTGTTACAAGAATTGTTCATTTAATATTATAAGATAAATAGGCAAAGACAATTAAATACTTTTTTCTTCTTTATCAGACTGATTTTGTTTTTTTTGTTTAGTAGCTATGACAAGCTTTAGGGATAAATCGATTAATAAAAAAATGATTATAGTCGAGATTTCAATCACTTGTTGAACATCTTAATATAAACGTCGGGAAACAAAAATACAAATAAATCCGCGACAAAATCCGAAAAGATAGTTTTATTTAAAATATCTTAATCGTTACCATTGTACATTAAAACTAATATCTTACCTTTTTCCATAAAAACATGGCAGTATTAATATTAGAACTTTGTACGTACTATTAAAATGAAGAAAATTGAAACCAAAACAGCAATTGTATAGAATATAGATTACTTTCAAAACTTAATAGACGTTAAAGTTATACGTATAATATATTAGAGAAAAATGAGATAGCTAGAGAATTGGGGTATATAACGGGAGAGTTTAATTTATTTCGTGTTTTACCATGTCTTGGACAGAAACAATAGCTAATGGATTTACTGTACGAGTTACTTTTCACAACAATTAATGAATAATGAATAGTAATTTTGAGCAATAGTTAATTATTATGCAAAGAAAAAAAAATTGTAGAGTCTTTATTAAATAAAACTATCTTTTCGGATTATTTCGCGGATTTATTTTGATTTTTGGTTCCCGACGTTTCGAATGCTTTACAGCAATCATGGTCACGGGAGAGACTGAAGTGTTTGTTAATTGTGGGTAGGCTGTCTGTAACAACTATACATTCAAGACATGTAACACCTAAGTCTCTCCCGCGACCATGGATGCTGTAAAGCATTCGAAACGTCGGGAACCAAAAATCAAAATAAATCCGCGAAAGAATCCGAAAAGATAGTTTTATTTAATAATGTCAAACATTCGCGTAAATCTAAGAAAGTATTATGTAGAGTCTTTGTTTACAATATATTTAAAGTTCCAATTTAGGATGTAAATGTGCAGAAAAGAGGTATATTTTACATTCTCTTCTCTTACCTTTTAAGGGAGCTTAGAGCTTTATTACTTACAAAAGAGAAAGGCAAGTAAGCAATTATAAATCTAAAAAGGAGAAATTGCATCACAATTATTATTTTTTACGTTCAATCAATACTGATAGTATTTTATTAATTCAATGAAAGTAGTTCTAACTTTCGATCTTATAAATTGACAAAAAATATAAAACCAACAAATGAACTTTCGACTTTCACTGCCAGTTGCAACGCTCGTCGATACAATAAAATTGCACTCTCAATATTATCTGTAAGTCGTTATGTTACCACAATCTTTTTGCGTTTATTTTTTTGTATTAAAATAATTAAAAATGTATAATACAATTTTTTGAGAGAATTTTAACTTAGATCTTATTTCACTGATATTGAATAATTTAAGAAGCAAAAGTAGAACATTTGAATGTGAATGACATTTTACTTATTTTAATATTAGGCTTATTACTGGATACGGATAGTGGATTATATAAACAATTGTCATAACCAGACGAATAATAAATTTTATTGTTCGGAAATCAAACTTGTGACTTCTGGTGCTGTGGTCAGTAGCAATGAATATACACATATACATACATAGAACATAAAATTATTCCACTTTCATTCGTTTGATACATTATACATACATTTAGAATGTTCCCTTATCATAATTTAAATCTTTGTTTTAAATCTATACTAATATTGTAGAGGTAAAGTTTGTGAGTTTGTGACGTTGTAGGGGGTAATCTCTGGATCTACTGAACTGATTTAGATGAAATTTGGTAAGAAGATAGTTTGATACCCTGGGAAGGACATAGGGTACTTGTTATCTCGGAAATCATCCCTTAAGGGGGTGAAAGTTTGTATCGGGAAGCAAGCTAGGGACGAACCCGAGCGAAGCGAGAGTGAGTCGCTAGTATACAATAAGATTACGTATAACAAGAATCAATTATGATCATAGGTCAAAAACTAGTTATATAGTATAGAAATTCCCTTTGAGTTTCCCGCTGACTTACATCAGAAGATAATCATTACAGCGAATGAAAGTAAAACGTGTTAACGGCACAGCAACAGGTGCGGTCTGACGGAAGCCTTGCGATTATCGAAATACCTAATATCTATTATGAAATAAGATATATTATTTTACATGAGCGCAAACGGTAACGGATTAAATGTCCGTGTGCTAAAATGATTTGAGCTGTAATAGTGTGATTTGTGCTTGAAAAATGTAGAGCATAATTTTAAGTTTAGTTTTTACATATATTACATTAAATATATTGCGTTTCACTACCATGTAACCGAATCGAGATCTATTTTTGGACAATCTTAATATTGGCGTTACGCCTTAGTATAGCCGAAAATATCAATCAATAGACTCATATCAGAATAGTAAATATCACTCGATAAAAAAGCGTTATATCTCAAATTAAAAAATAGTAGGTATAAGCTAAAGACTACAAAAGCTATATACCTCTTGATTTAATGCCAGTTCATCATCTTCTTCAACTCCTGCATCAGGAACTTCATCTTCTTCTTCAGACGCGACTGCAGCCCCAAGCAGCAGGAGCGCTATGAACAGACTCCACCTGAAGAATAAAGGGAAAACCGTTGACATCGGTGAAGTCTCTATACTTATGTAAACATAATATTATTACTTTTTAATTCAAGGAGAATTATAATTAGCTATTATATGTATTCATTCATTTGTAATGTAAATAAATAAATAAATTGTAATTTTAACTGAAATAAATAAGAAATAATTAAAAATAAACTTATTTTTATTATGTGACACTGGTATAAGAAGTGTTAAAACTATCCAGAGTCACGTTATAAAAATAATGTTAGTGAAAACGAAATCTTAAAGACTTACAATAGTACATTAATCATTTATATTCATCTATTAATCACACTAATCTCAAAGTGCCAGCCTCTACAAATACGGTCTCATCATTGATTTTAAGAGTTTAATGTCCGATTTCACCAACAACCCATAAACTACCACCTACATATGGGATCCCTAGCTTAAAAGTTCCCCTAAACTAGCCCCTAAATTAAATTTCGTTTAACATCGTCAGAGCCCGTATTTCTAGTACCTATATTTAGGTGGCATTTTAACATTTAGGTGACACCTAGCTGTCGGTGAAACAGAAACTGTCCCCTAACAGCCCCCTAAACATGCTTAGGGGATCCCTTAAACTTAGGTGACGTTGGTGAAATCGGCCATAAAAGTTTTTGTATATCAATGGGTCTAGTGTAAAATATATACATATTTTCGTAGTGTTTCTTTATCTATTTCTATCTTCTAAAGTTCATAATAATTAATTATTATAGAAAGTACTTCTCACGTAACAGGGAAGCATGTCGAGACATGATGAATCAAATATTTACTATTGTAGCACTTTCGTCCAAATGCGGTAGCACGATTACGTGTTTAGAATCAACTTTCTACTGTTTTTGAAATATATTTGAAAATACTACGTAAACAGAGCGGACAGTGACTCGCGTGATGTGTGGACCTGAATTTGTAATGAGTGTAAGTAAAATAAATATTAGTCACTATAAGATAAAATATGGTAAGATAATTATTACCATAATTTCACAGTTTCTTATTACGCAATAATATAACTTGATAAAGCAGTATTACAATTTCAATCTCAGTCGATACTCAAATCTCAATTATTGCAGTCACTAAGTCTTTAGTAAGTAAATAAGTAGGTGGTAAATTTTTTGGTTCAAAATAAACGGTTCAAACTAACAATGAGTATGAATTATTATAACATAAAAGCTAAACATGAGTTCACTTTAAAAGACACGACTCAAAAACCTTTAAAAACACAAATCTTTAAGAAACCAAATTATTTTGTTATTTAAATAGATAAGTAAATCGATGTTCATGTCGCTTAAAAGTTACCCGAAAACAAATTACCCAAAAACATTCAATGTATATATTATATACTATCTTATATTATTACTTATATTATATAATATCTACACCATCCTTTGCCTTTATCTAAAAGGATGTGCTTAGCTCTGCTAAGGCTTTGCATCAAAATTATAAATCAAAAAGTTTCTAAGACATTTTTGAGCCCCTAAACTTCTTCTAAGCTATTAAATCAAAAACGCCAAAAAAAAAAACTTTTACATTTATAATAAAAGTAAGGTTTGCATTCGTTGTATTTTGGTTGCAACGTTCATTAGGCTTAGCTGCTCTCATTGGCAACCGTATCGTAACCAACGGCTGTAACCACAGCAATAATGCGTTGCGCTTGCGCAGAATACTTTCAGATGCAATGGCAGCATTAAATAAACATTTCTTAATTCTGTTTAGGCCCTTTATAGATGTTACTATAAAGTTTATCTCACTAAGACGTTATTAATCATTTGTTTATAGTTATCATAGATCAATTATACAAAATTAGTTTAACTATGCCTAAACTATCTCATTTAAATTATTATAAAGAGTTTGAATATGTTTGTTTGTATGTCGAAGATAATTTGTGTATGTAAATAATAAAATTAAAATTATAACGAGGTTTGCATTATTTTGTTGACTTATAACTTTTAGGTTTTTTTTTGTTTTTATTAATAAGTATACTCAGTCCTTGAATGAAAAGCATAGAGTTAAATTACATTTTAGTTTTTTTTTCTATTTTTTCATAAAATAAATAGCCCTGAAAATATAACACAAGTTCTTTTGAGATAATTTTCATTTCCATCATATATTGTGTATACCTAAAATACCTACACTTACATACTTATAAGATATTTACTCTAAGTTTTAATTTATAGATGAGATCACAATTGCAAAAGAAAATGTAGTTTAATAGTCCAACCAGTGCATCGATGTGGGTTACGTATTGCATTACAAGATTGACCCGCTGTCCATGGGTGTGGCATCAGGCAAGGTATTTACTTATGGCTGTAATTAGGTTTGAAGAAAGCTGTTACATGATTTAAAATTTAATACTACTCGTTTTATTTATGTTCATATTAAAATTACGTAATGACCTTTAGAAATTGTTTTTTTGTGCTTTAAAAGGAGGTACAGGTTACGTCTGTCGGTGTTGATTTAAGTTGTTTAACGTGTTGACTTGCATGTCTTTGCGTATCTGCTTGATGATAAAAACGAGCTTCTTGGTAATTTTAACGAGGTTTACGGATACGGTATTCATGATAAAGTACTTTTGTCAAAAAAAAATTTTGTGTACATAACGTTGTTTCTGTATGGGAAACAATTTTAAATATTTTGTAGCTTTTAAAATGTTTTTTGGTGGCACTGAAGTTTTGAAATACCTTAAGTCATACTATAATTGTTTTGTTTATGTAGCGTAGATAATTTTTTATCACATAGTCTTGTTAAAAATCGCATTGTATGTACCTAATTACTTCAACGGGGGCATGCAACTAGCATTTTTTCCAGTATACCACGTGGAAATGACTCGTATAGATGAAAATATTAACTTTAAATTAAGTACTCTTTTGTATATTTATATATTTTTGTTTCTTAGAAAAACATCGCAAGTACAAAATAATGTAGTGTAATTTTTTACCTCTGGTAAACTTACACATTTATAATATTTATATTATAAATGTGAAAGTTTTGATGGATGTTTAAATGTTTGTTTTTTTTGTATTATTTTTCTCGATCACGTCAGAACGGCTAAACGAATCTGGAGGAAATTTGGCATAGAGATAAATTATATTCTGGAATAGCACATAGGCTTTTTATCTCGGAAAAATGTACGTATCTCGTGATATTGATAAGTTTTCGTCTTTTTAGAGGCGAACTCGAGCGAAGCGAGGGTGAACCGCTAAGTGTATTATATTTCCTAATGAAAAACTGTCTTTTGTCTCCATCATTCTAATGAAACGTACTCTATTATTGAGAGAAAATTATAAATTTTAATGGATTTTCAGTACTTAAGCTAAATTACCATATATTTCTAAATTCATGGTTTCTATTCCATGTTATAATAATATTATGATATACATATGTACATTAATATACATTATATAATACATTTACGTAACTACGTATTTGAGACTCTAACATAATTAATTTCTATTTTCTATTTTCGCTCTAGTTCAAGAACTAGGTACATAAAAAATGTACAAGTATAATTCTTTCTTCAATTAAGTAACATTCTGACGATTTAGTTGAATATATAGATAAGGTTTAGAACAAATTTTTTTACATAATGCTTAGAGACATTGAACACTGAATAATTTTACAGGCCACAACGGGTTAAAATAAGATGACATTCTACAATAACGCTAACGCTAATAGGAAAGATAATAATTTTATATGGGAATGACATATGGAAGCGTTATGTTTAATAGTTATAATTTGTCAATCCCGTACATATTTGTTGTTTTCTATTAGCGATATCGTAGAAAATCACTTAGGTACAATTAGTCTAAGGTGGCTGATTAGTATTCTTTGATAGAAAAGTCAACACATCTTATAAAAAGCAGTCGTAAGCCACGAGACCAACTATATAGTTAAAATAATATGTAGAACATTAATTTTAAGGTATATAGCACTTTCTACTACAGCTACCGAGTCGTGAAACTGTCTTGCGTGCGCTTATTGTTCCTACACCGGACCAGTGCCTGTGGAACGCTACTGATGCGAGGTGAGATTACTCGTTTATCTATAAGGTTCTAACTACCTTAATATATTTACTGAATACTTGTCCAATTAATCAAGTTTAATCTTTACATAAATATAGATTATAGTTTTATTTATGTATATAATATGATATATACTCGTATGTGTCTTGAGATGACTTCATAATTCATACATTTTATGCTACGTCATTACGTCTATACATATAATAAAATTGTAACTAAGCCGCATCTGTACATTATTATTTTATTGGAAAATCTTATTGATATAGACATTATTATCGAAACAGAGGCCGAATCTATAGTTTTTAGAAATATTGTCTGTCTGTCTATCTGTCTGTTACCGCATCACGAAAAAACCACTGGAGGGATTTTAATGAAATTTAGTATGATGATAGCTGATTGACTTTGTACCACGGGAAAATATCTCATTTCTGAGAAAAATACAAAAACTGCAATATAAGAGTAAACTAATATGTAAAATCGAAGAATTTGGTTTTTGGTCATCTGAACGGCGGGTGGAGCCGCGGGCAATGCTAGTACTCACTATAAAAAACTACATTAAAGTGGATTCAATAACATTAAAACAACATGTTGCATAACACAGAGTAGTAACGTTAAGAAGAAACTGGTTACTTTTTGTTCCGACAAAATGTTCAAGAAAAATCAAGTAGGCAATTAAACCATTTGGCCTAAAAGAAAAAAAAGAAAAATATTTTTAACCTATAGTAATGTAAAGAATAACTTAGTGTCTAAAATGGAAATAGAATTCCTAGATATGTACTAAAATCTTATAGCCTATTTGTTTCCACACATAGATATTCTTAGAAACAAATCAAATTCAATATGTTTCGGCTTTACAGTATTCGTCCTAAATAACTTGGTCAACTGCATTATAATTATTCATATTACGAGTTACGACATTGTTGCATACCTTATTGTATGAGTAAGACTCTTC